TTCAATGTAGAGGGTAAATACAATTGTAACAGTTACCAGGAAGGGGGGAGGGAGGGGCATTCAGGCCCAGACACTGCTCTCCCTCTTTCCACCATCCATAAACTTCAACTCATCCAAAACTCCGTCACCCTCACCCACCAAACCCTGCATTTCTATCACCCCAGCCCTCATCAGACTCCACTGCAGATCAATTTGAAAGTCCTCATTATCACCGATAAATCCATTCACACCCGAGCATCTCCCTACCTCCATATCTCACCAATCTCCTCCTCCATTCCTCCCTCCTCTTGGCATTGATGCTTGTTCCCACCCTCCCAAATATACAATCAATTCACTTTACACCATATTTAGGGAATCGTTGGTCAGGGCACCGTGAGAGAGAAACTCTATTCTCTTTTCCAATAGTGGCATGGGATCTTTAACATCCACCTGAACAGGCAGACGGGCCTGATTTGATGTCTCATTTGAAAGATGGCACCTCCAACATTGCAGTACCACCCTTGGACTGTGCTGGAGCCTCAGTTTAGACTCTGTGGTTCCATGTCCTGCTGTGGTTCTCACCATCTTGCACCCGCGAAATGTCTCCCGCATAGTGACTAGGTGGCCTCTGTGTTTGATCCTTCTCTGCGTGCAAGTCCCTAATCTACGGTGTAGCCACTAAAGAGAGTCAACACGACAACAGGTTCTACCAGTGCTTTTTCCAAATAGCAGTGGGAAGTTCGCCAGAGTCCTGCACATTAAAGGACTGTGACGTAGGCTTAGCCTGTATATGAAAATCACCCTCCCTCCTTATTTATACAGAGACTCAAGAGGCACGACTAAGAAAGCTCAACAATATTTTATTGGTGTTTCTCACAGCCTTTTGCCTAACTTATACTTCCTGACAAATCGGATAAATATGACGCAATGGGAATAATAAATACTAAGCTATGCAACTAGCAGCCAAATTATTAATGAATGCAAGAAACCCATCTTGACCAAAGGTCTCCTCCATTTTCGGCACATCTCTTTTTGATGTTAAACAATACAAAGGAGTGACCAGGTGGGGAGCAGGCTCGCTCCTTTTAAGGGCGATAGGCCCATCCCCGTTTCTAGAGAGTATCCAATCACTTTTATTACTTGCCGAATTATAGGTTTACAGTGGCTACACCCCTGGGTGGCTTCAAGCCTCTTTTCCCGCCGAAACAACATTGTAGCATCGTGGCTCCGTCTGCCCCCTGGACACTAACAATCCTGTTTTCATGACCAATTTGCAGACTTGATGACACAAAAGATGTATTTGCCTGTAAATTAAATACGCTCAATAGCTTGAAAATGTTCCTAAAGCTATACGCCTTACCTTATATTACTGCGCATGCGCAAGCTTTCTTTCAACACAGACATCAAGCTTGCAATAGCTCACAGGCTTACGCAGCCTTCAACCAATACAAACCCTGCAAATGGCATAACATTATAAAGAAAAGCACAAATAATAAGGTGTTTGTGACAGTCCCAATGTAGGGCTTGAACCCACAACCTTCTGACTCGGAGGCGAGTGTGAGAGACTGAGCCTGGCTGACTCACACTGCGCACACTGGGTGGGGTTGGGGTGATGGGTGTGGTGTAATTATGGGAGGCTGTGTGATTGGGTTGGGGGGTGGTTATTGGGAAGCGAAGTGGGTTTTATTTACGCTGTTTGAGATCTCACTGATGTAGTCTCGAGTTTCCTCTTACCCTCAGCCTGTTGTGTGTGACCTGGACTGTGAGCCCATCGCTCTCACGTCGGCTGGCGGATGCTGTGAATTCCTGTTATGGTCTGTGGATTGTGTTGCCTCAGGGCTTGTCAGGCTGTTTTACTGGTAACTTGTTCTCACTCACTCACCAGGACCTAAATCCAGATGTCAGCCTGGCTCTCTGGCAAGTGACCATCTCACCTGGTGGCTATGTTTTGTAAACCAAACCCAGAGACACAAACTATATATAAAAAACTGAACTCACCACAGTTACTGGAGAAATGTGTTGGATTAATGGCTGTGATCCTCCGCTGAGTGTATCTGTTGTAGTATTTTATTCTTGCTCAGTTTGTTGCTCACCTCAGGATAGGGCAAATTGGCCAGACAATGTCTCAGGGAGTTGCTGTGTTGTGGTGAGTTGTTTTACTTGTCTCTCCCGCCCCACCCGCTCCCACCCTGCTCGCTCAACAGGCCATTATTTATAATAACAATAATTGCTACATTTGATATTGTACCTTTTATGTTGGGAAGATGGCTCCAGGCACTGCTCAGCACTTTTTTGATCTCAGCAGTTTGGATGCCTGGAGGTGATGTAAGAGGTAATGATAGAGATGGAGCAAAGTTTGACATCAAACCTTGGGCTGTGAAGTTGGTGCCTGGAATTCTTTCAGCATTCAAATAGCAAGATTGTTTATTTAGCTAATATCAATTTTTCAATCTTCGTTGGACACAGGAGTGGTGCCAGAGGACTGGAGAGTGGCCAATGTGACTCCCCTGTACAAAAAGGGACAGAAGGACAAACCTGGGAACTGCAGGCCAGTCAGCCTAACATCAGTAGTGGGGAAACTCCTGGAGACTATAATCCGGGACAGAATAAATCTTCACTTACAAGAATATGGATTAATTAGGGACAGCCAACACGGATTTGTTAAAGGCAAATCTTGTCTAACAAATCTAATAGAATTTTTCGATGAGGTAACGGAGAGTGTGGATAAAGGTAGTGCAGTAGATGTAGTTTATATGGACTTTCAAAAGACATTTGACAAAGTGCCACATAAAAGAATTGTAAGAAAGATAGAAGCCCATTGTATAAAAGGAACAGTGGCAGCGGATCCAGAACCGGCTGGGAGCCAGAAAGCAGAGAGTTGTGGTGAACGGCTGCTTTTCTGACTGGAGGGAAGTGTACAGTGGTGTTCCCCAGGGATCGGCATTAGGACCACTGCTCTTCTTAATATATATAAACTTGGACTTGGGTATAGCAAGTACCATTTCCAAGTTTGCGGACGACACAAAGTTAGGTCGGGTGGTAAACAGTGAGAAGGATAGGAGCCGACTGCTGGAAGACATAGACAGAATGGTAAAATGGGCGACACATGGCAAATGAATTTCAATGTGGAGAAATGCGAGGTAATGCATTTTGGTAGAAAGAATGAGGGGAGGCAATACAGGCTGGTAATACAATGTTAAGGGGGGTGAAGGAACAGAGAGACCTGGGGGTGCAGGTAAATGAATCCTTGAAGGTGACAGGACAGGTAGATAAGGCTGTAAAAAGAGCAAATGGGATTCTAGGCTTTATACATAGGGGCATCGAGTACAAGAGTCAGAGGTTATGATTAACCGATATAAAACACTGGTTAGGCCTCAGTTAGAATACTGCGCCCAGTTCTGGGCACCGCACTATAGGAAGGATGTTAAGGCATTGGAGAGAGTGCAGAGGAGATTTACAAGAATGGTACCAGGAATGAGGGACCTTGATTATGAGGAAAGGGTAGAGAGGAGAGGATTATTCTCATTGGAGCAGAGAAGGTTACGAGGTGACCTAATAGAGGTCTTCAAAATCATGAGGGGATTTGATAGGTTAGAAAAGGAAAAACTGTTTCCACTGGTGGGTGTGTCGGTGACTTGAGGTCAAAGATTCAAAATAGTCTCTAAAAGAAGCAGAGTGGAGGTGAAANTTTTTTTCACGCAGCGAGTTGTTCAAATCTGGAACGCATTGCCTGAAAGGGTGGTGTAGGCCGATCAATAACTAATTTTAAAAACGCGGTGGACAGGTATTTGAGGAGAACGGGTTTGCAGGGTTATGGGGAAAGGGCTGGGAGTGGGATTGGCATTACATTACTCTATTCAAAGAGCCGCACAGACTCGATGGGCCAAATGGCCTATTTTTGTGTTGTACGATTCTAGGATCAGCTGACTCTGATCAGGCGTCAGGTACTCGTATAGTCTAGGCTGACAGCACAGTACAGCACTAGGGGAGATTTGTAAAGGGTAATTTCAGGATAGACACCAGGAAGCTTTTCTTTACTCAATTAATGACTGGAACAGGGTAGCCAGAAAGTGGGGTGGGGTAGAGACCAAGAACCCGGATTCATTTAAAACTACCTGTAATGGGGGGATGGTGAGGTGGGTGTTGCGGAGAGGTGAAACCGGATGAGCCTCGCATCCAGACCGATCTTGTGATCTTGTGAAAAGGAATAAACAGCTGAACAGTGAAAGCAATATGGGATGTGGGGTAAAATATGGAAAGTGGGATTAACAAAAACAATGTGTTGGTGAGCGATGTCAGAAGGGCTGTGTTGGATCCCTCCCTGTGTACTGCTCTGTAACTGTGCTGGTGAGGGAGCAGTCAATCTGGAGTCTCAGAATATGTGCTTCCCCATTATTGCCAGTGCTGTAACCTGCTCACAAACTCTTCAACACACAATCCTTTGTAACTGAGTTATTGTTTTTAAAGTTCATAGAATTATACAGCACAGAAGGAGGCCATTCGGCCCATCATGTCTATGCCGGCTCTTTGAAAAGAGCTTCCAAATTAATCCCACTCCCCTGCTCGCTCCCCATAGCCCTGCAAACTTGTCCTCCCCAAATACTACTTCTATTTCTGTCTTAAAAGTTATTAAATAGGTAAAGTTGTTAGTTACCCCATTACTCATTAATTGAGTGTTCACAAACACACACAAACACACAGTGCTCTGTCAGGCTCCTGAGGGGACGGGCTGGGTTCCTTTTGTAAACCATGTGACCATACAAAGGTTTGCAATGTTATTCCCCAAACTATTTTTTTAAACTTTAAGGAAACCCAGAAACTGATTTCTCCAGCTGAATGCTACACTGGCCATTGAGAGCTGAGGCACTCTGTTATTATAGGAAAGTTGTGGAAGCTTTAACTTGTCAAAGTACTTCTGAAAATCTCCACTGCCAAGGTCACTGTCCCTTTAAGTAAGTTGTTGGTGAAGACTTGCTCAGCCCAACCCCCAGTCAGAGCAGGTTCCTCTGCCTTCTCAGCCACACGCAGACACCCACCGCTGCTGTGTGTCAGGGCACCATGGTGCCCAGGGTCCCAGCCTGCCCTCTGCTCCTCCTCCTCCTCCTCCTGCTGCTCGCGGTCAGAGCCAGAGCCAGAGCCACACAGGACATCACACAGAAGCGAGCCACAGCCACCCTGCAGGGACAGCAGGTCAGTCAGCGAGAGCGCGAGGGAGGGAGGGAGGGAGAGGGAGGGAGTGACAGAGTGAGAATGAGAGAGAGAGAGAATGAGTGAGGGACAGAGAGGGAGGGAAAGGGTATGAGAGAGAGTGAGAGTTACAGAAAGAGAGTGACGGAGGGAAATTGTGAGTGGGGCAAAGAGAAAGGGAGAGTGAGAGTCCAGCCTCACAGCCTGGGAATCTGCAACTGCCTGCAGCCAAGCTCTCACATGGTTCCTCTCCCCCACCCTCCAGGGTTCCTGTTCACTCCCCCCCGCACTCACTCCCCCCCCCCGCACTCACTCCCCCCCTCCCCCCGCACTCACTCCCCCCTCCCCCCGCACTCACTCCCCCCCCCCCCCCCCCCGCACTCACTCCCCCTCCCCCCGCACTCACTCCCCCCCTCCCCCCGCACTCACTCCCCCCCTCCCCCCGCACTCACTCCCCCCTCCCCCGCACTCACTCCCCCTCCCCCGCACTCACTCCCTCCCCCGCACTCACTCCCCCCCCCCGCACTCACTCCCCCCTCCCCCGCACTCACTCCCCACCCTACCCAGCGCTCACTCCCACCCACCCCAGCGCTCACTCCCCCCACCCCAGCGCTCACTCCCCCCCCACCGCAGCGCTCACTGCCCCCCCCCACCCCAGGCTCACCTCCCCCAGCACTCACTGCCCCCACCCCAGCGCTCACTCCCCCCCCACCCCCGCGCTCACTCCCCCCCCCCCGCACTCACTCCCCCCCCGCGCTCACTCCCCCCCCCGCACTCACTCCCCCCCCCCCCCGCAATCACTCCCCCCCCCCCGCGCTCACTCCCCCACCCCAGCGCTCACTCCCCCCCACCCCCGCACTCACTCCCCCCCCACCCCCGCGCTCACTCCCCACCCCAGCGCTCACTCCCCCCCACCCCTGCACTCACTCCCCCCCCCCCGCACTCACTCCCCCTCCCCCCGCACTCACTCCCCCACCCTACCCCAGCGCTCACTCCCACCCCACCCCAGCGCTCACTCCCCCCCACCCCAGCGCTCACTCCCCCCCCACCGCAGCGCTCACTGCCCCCCCACCCCAGCGCTCACTGCCCCCCCCCACCCCAGGCTCACCTCCCCCAGCACTCACTGCCCCCCACCCCAGCGCTCACTCCCCCCCACCCCCGCGCTCACTCCCCCCCCCCCGCACTCACTCCCCCCCCGCGCTCACTCCCCCCCCCGCACTCACTCCCCCCCCCCCGCAATCACTCCCCCCCCCCCCGCGCTCACTCCCCCACCCCAGCGCTCACTCCCCCCCACCCCCGCACTCACTCCCCCCCCACCCCCGCGCTCACTCCCCCACCCCAGCGCTCACTCCCCCCCCACCCTGCGCTCACTCCCCCCCCACCCCCGCGCTCACTAACCCCCACCTTTGCGCTCACTGCCACCTCCCCATCCCAGGGCTCACCTCCCCCAGCACTCACTGCCCCCCCACCGCAGCGCTCACTGCCCCCCCACCCCAGCGCTCACTGCCCCCCCCCACCCCAGGATCACCTCCCTCAGTGCTCACTGCCCCCCCCCCCCCCACACCAGGCTCACCCCCCTCCGCACTCACTCCCCCCCCCCCGCGCAATGAGCCCTGGGGTGAGGTGGGGGGTGGCAGTGAGCACTAGAGGAGGTGAGCCTGTGGTGGGGAGGGGGCAGTGAGCGCTGCGGGTTAAAACAGTAACAGAGACAGTAATAGAGAGAGCGTAACTGTTGACTGACACATGGCACAGGCAGTCATCCTTTACAACTCTAACCTGAGCCTTGTACAGTTTTAGTGCATCCTAAAGTATTGATCTGGGTTTACTTTTTCAATCCCGTTTAATATTTTATCACCTTCATAAGGTTCCCTCTGAGTTGTCTTCTCTCAAGACTGAAGAGCCTGAGCTTGTTTAATCGTTGCTCACAGCTCATTCCTCCATCACTGGGGATCCTCCTCGTTGCTCCCCTCTGCACTGTCTCTGGGGTCTGTTATTCACAGCTGTCTGCTGTGCTCACAGTGTGACCTGACCAGGACACTGTATAGTGTGACGTCTGGACATCTAAACTTACTGATTAGCAATATAGCCCAACATCCTGTATTGTGATCGACGAGTGAGCTGACACCCAGAGATCTTTCTCAGCTTCCCTCTTGGCAAGTTCAATCCCATTATTGGCAAACATGGCAGCCAATTTTGCACAGAGCAATGACCCACAAATAGCCATGAAGTGAGTGAGTGATTTTATTTGGGGGATTGTTGGCCAGGATGCTGGGAGAGAGAAACTCCCTTCTCTTTTTGAGTTGGACCATGGGATTTTTAATCTCAATTTGAATAGACACAAACAGGGCCTAAGTTTAATATTTCAGTCGAGGGGTGGGAGAAGGACTCGTGCTTGTATTGTGCAGAGGATTATTCGGTCTTGGGTGGAGAAAATCAATTGGGATGTTTAACAAGGAAATGGGTAGGTACAGTATTTGTAGGAAGTGAGAGGATTCAGTGATCTGAAGAAAGGTGGGGAAATGGGATTAAAGATCTGCCATGATCTAATGAATTGATTAAACAGGCTCGTGTGCTGAATAGCATTGTGTTCCTATTAGCACAGACACACTTACACCCATTCACTCATACTAATAATACGCTGCATTGACTCTTACACACTCAAATGCTTACACTCACTCACATACTGCACTAACACTTGCACATGCACTTCCTCACACAATACACACACTCACAATATTTAGACGTGTGTGTGCTCACGTTTCCTGTCGCATGTTTATGAGCTGGGTGACCAGCAACTCAGTTATTAAAGCAGGTGTTTGTGTTTTTTGCAGGCGTGGCCGGTGACTGGTATGTATTGATGGTTGTGTATGTAGCTCCCACTCCTTTCTTGTTCTAACCTCTCATGGCCTGTCTGTCACACAGCTTTGCTCTCACCTTCTGGCCCTTACACCATCATTGCTTAACATTTTAATTTTACATATTGTACATAACATGAGACTCCACAATACATTTACCTTTATTCAGTGTCAAGCACTTGAGACACCCGATGTGCTAGGTCACTGTATAAATGTGTATGATATATTGCGACCTTTCACATCAGGATGATAATAATCATCCTTGCATTTGATATAGCGCCTTATCACATGTCAAAATGCTTCACAGATTATTCTGTAAAGTGAATTGATGGTGTACTTTGTTGGCAAAACACGGCAGTCAAATGCGCACAGGAGTGCAACAAACAGTTGTAGATTGAGTGACCAAATTATTATAATTATTTTTGGAATGGATTATTACCCTTGGATATCTCGAAGCACTTAACTCTGCTGGCTGGATTCCCCGGGGGGGATGACCAAAAGTGTAGTCAAAGAGGGAAATGTTAATGCAGCTGTGAAAGTGATGAAGTCAGAATAGGGGAGGAAGGGAGGAAGTCGGAGGGAGGGACGGAGCAAGACAGGATGAAGTTCCAAAGAGTGATGAAAGACTGGGATGATCAGGGAGCCAGAGAATGGAATTAGATTGTCTTGTGTGAGTACACAAGAAGTGTGTGTGAGTGTCACATCTCTCTCCTCGGCTGACATCATAATAATACTACTAATAATAATAATCCTTGCATTTGATATAGTGCCTTATCAGGTCAGAAGAACATCTCAAAGCACTTCACAGGAATTACAATACAATACAAAATTACATTTGTATAGAACATTTCACGTCGGGAGGACGTCCCAAAGTGCTGGACAGGCAGGGATTTGGACCTGAGTGGGGGTCCAAATGGGATGGGATCAGGGAGGGCAGAGAGTAGGAGGGAGGCCAAATACACAAAGAGGTAGATCTTGAGACTTGCCTTGAAGGAGGCAAGGGAGAGAGAGAGGCCAAGGGAATATGGGATGGGGTTCCAAAGGATGGAGGCAGAGAGGCTGAAGGCCCGACAGTCGATGGAGGGGCAGGCCAAATGTAAGGTGGAGTGAGTGTATTTGTAGGCAAATGCGGCAAACAGTGAGTGGAGTGAGTGACCAATTGCATTTGAGGGATTATTGGCCAGGACATCAGGAGAGAGAAACTCCCTTCTCTTTTCAAATAGTGCCATGAGATCTTTAACATCATCTGAACAGGCAGACGGGACCTCAGTTTATTGTCTCATTCATCTGGCATCTCTCTCTGACTCTCCTCATCCCTCATCCCTCACTCTCTCTCCCCCTCGGTTCACATCCCTTGCTCTCTCTCTCTCTCTCTCCCTCCTCGGCTCACATCCCTCCTTCTCTCTCCCATCCCCTCAGCTCACATCCCTCTCTCTTTCTCTCTCCCCCCTCGGCTCACATCCCTTGTCCTCGCTCTCTCTCTCTCCTCGGCTCATGCTCCTCTGCACCTTTTGTCCTCAGCAGGATGTGTGTTGACTCATTGCTGGCTTTGTTAATACTGTGCGAGGCCCCAATAAACCAGGTGAACAGGATGCTGGGGTGTCAGCCTGGCTCCGTCATTTACTCAGTCTCTCGCCTCAGTCAGAAAGTTGTGGATTGAAGCCCCACTTTGAGCTCTCAGTCTTTGTTGATGCTCCAGTGCGGGGGAATGGGAACGGGACTGCATTGTGCAAGGGCCAATCTCCTCGCTGGGAGAATCAACATTGCTGTAGGCAGAGATTCTGGTGGGGTGGGGGGGGGGGCAACAAGATGTGGTAGAAATGTAAGAAAGTATCATGGGAAATAGCAAAAGAGGATGGTAGAGAACTAACAAGAAGTAGATCAAGAGGGCGAGGGATTGTAGAAGAACCCATCAAGGTCTTGGAATGGTTGCGGAGGAGATTTACCAGAATGGTACCAGGGATGAAGGACTTTAGTTATGTGGAGACTAGAGAAGCTGGGATTGTTCTCCTTAAGAACGAGAGAGAAGATGAGGAGAAATTTCATTACACAAAGCGTTGTTACGGTCTGGAAGGCACTGCCTGAAACAGTGGTGGAAACAGATTCATTAATAATAATAATAATCCTTGCATTTGATATAGCGCTTTTCACGTCGGGAGGACGTCCCAAAGTGCTTCACAGAACACACTGTAAAGTGAATTGACTGTATATTTGTGGGCGAACGCGGCAGCCAATTGCGCACAGCAATGTCCTACAAACAGTCGTAGATTGAAAATGACCAATTTATTATTGTATTGTTTTGGAGGGATTATTATTAGGCTCTGTGTGGAGTAAGGAAACTTGCCCAAGGTTTCGCCCTCTGCCTGGAATTGAACCCAGGTCTCTCGTATGCAAAGTGAGTGCTCTAACCACTGAGCTACAGGACTCCAACTTTCAAAAGGGAATTAAATGAGTACTTTTAAAGGAACAATTTCAGGGACATGGGGAAAGAGTGGGGGAATCGGACTGATTGCTAGCTCTTCCAAAGAGCCAGCACAGGCACGATGAGCCAAATGGCCTCCTTCTGTGCTGTAATATTCTGATTCTACGATATTGTAGTATAATGTGTCAGCTTAGTGCACTCTCGATTCTGAGTCAGAAGGTTGTGGGTTGATGCCCCATGTTGGGACTTGGAATCACGTTTAAGTTGACGCTCCAATGCAGTGCTGGAGGAATGTTGCATTGTCGAGGTCAACAACAACTTGGATTTATATAGCGTCCTCCCACCGGACGGCGTTTCAGAGCGCTTCACAGAAACGGATCCCGGGGCCGAGCCGGGGGAGGGGGGGGAAGGTGACCAAAGGTGCGGTCGAAAAGAAAGGCCTTCAGCCAAGACCTGAAAATAGGAAGAGAGGGCATGAGGCGAAGGGTGTGAGGAAGGCAGTTCCAGAACCTCGGGGCATAGTGGCTGATGGCACGGCCACCGAGGGTGGAGCGAAGAATTCCGGGGACAAGTAGGAGGCCAGAGCCGGATGACACTTTAAACCAAAGTCTGTCTGTTCAGGTGGACGTTATCCCATGGCACTATTTAAAAAGAGAAGGGAGTTTCCATCTTCCAGTGTCTTGTGCAACAATCCTCCAGATAAAATTGGTCACTCATTCCATGGCTATTTGTGGGATACTGAGAAACTGACTGCCGGGTTTCACCAATAATATATACACTGCACTTTACAGTATATTCTGTAAAGCACTTTGAGACATCTCAATGATGTCTTAAAGTGCTAGATCAAATACAAGTATTATTACAACAACAACTTGCATTTATATAGCTCCCTTCACGCAGGGTGGTATCTCGGAGCGCTTATTATTATTAGAGACCTGGTAAATCCCTGAGAGGACTGGGAGTTAAAACTTCCCAGGCATCAAATATTTAGGAGACAGAGTAAGAAAACAGGGCGGAGGCAGGACTAACCAAGGATTGTATTGCAGTGCTGGAACACAAAGCTGATGGGACGGTGGATGGAAAGACAATCTCTCTGGGTGGAGGTGAGAAATAAAAAGGGAAGTGTAATTTTGTTGTTGATTTTGTTGTGTTACTCTGTTAGAAATTTATTGTAGACCATCGGACAGTGGAGAAGAGATCTGTAAAGAAACCCGGAGAGGTGCAAAAATAACAGCATGGCTGAAGTCACGGTGGAAGAGGAGGGTCTTGAGATGTGCCTTGAAGGAGGCAAATGAGGGAGATATGCCTTGACGGGAGGGAGCAAGGTGAAGGACTCTGGGATGCTACCTTGTGTGAGGGGCGCTATATAAATGCAAGTTGTTGTAGCTGAAGGGACTGTGGGGTGGAGCTCCAAAAGAGAGGCTGAAGACCCAACTGCCGATGGTGGGGCAACAACAACAATAACTTGCATTTATCTAGTGCCCTTAACGCCGGACGGCATCTCGGAGCAGGCGGGGTGGGGGCATAGAGCAGGCCAGAGCCTGCTGAGTGGAGGAAGTGGATAGGTTGATATGGTGTTAGCAGGTCACAGAGGTAGGAAAGACCAAGACCGTGGAGGGCTTTGAAAGCAAGGATGAGAATTTTGAACTCTATCCTCTTGGGGAAGGGGAGCCAAGGCGAGGGTAGGTATCATAGGGTTACAGAACCTGGTGCGGGAGAGGACATGAGCTGCAGAGTTCTGGATGATCCGCAGCTTGTGGAGGGAAGAGTGAGAAGGCTGACAAGCAGGAAGTTGGTGTGGTCGAGCCTAGATGTAATAAATGCACGGATGAGGGTTTTGGCAGCCTGAGGGTAGAGGCAGTGGTGGAGTCAGTGGATGTTGCAGATATGGGGAAGGCAAAATGGATCATGGCATGGATGTGGGGTACAAAGGACAGTTGAGGGTCAAACAAGACCCCAAGGTTCTGGACTGGCTTAGCAAGGTGGAGTGTGCAACCATGGATGGTGATGCTGTCAGTACCTGAGGTGAGGAGGCGCTGACAGGAGCCAACCAGGAGGGCCTTGGTCTTGTTGACGTTCAACTGGAGAAATTGGCTCTCATCCAGGACTTGATGTCTGACAAACATTCTGTCAGCACAGCAGTCGTCCTGGAGTTGAGGGTGGAGGCAGAGAGGTGAGTTGGGTGTCAGCCGCATACATGTGGAAATTGACCACAAGAGGGAGCATATAGATATTGAAGAGGAGGGGACCAAGGACAGTGTCCAGAGGAATCCCGCATGAGAAAGTGGGGGGACTGGAGGAGAAGACCTGTGTGGAGACAAAGTGGAGACGGTGTGAAATGTAGGATCTGAACCAGTCAATGACAGAACCATGAAAATTGAGGTGAGAGGAGAGGCGGTGGAGGATAGAGTAGTCAACAGTAAAAAAACACATAAAAAGCAAAAGAATAATTAAAGAAAAAATGAGCCATTTAAAAACAAAAAGGAAAATCTATTCATAGAAAAGGTCTGGCAGAGATACTTAATGAGTATTTCGTCTCAGGTTTTACAGCAGAGTTGTAGTGAGACACTGAGTGCACAAGATGAGGATGTGCAGCAATTAAAAGGGAAAGCTATAGGAAAGGCAGTGATGCTAAAGAGATTGTAAGTTTACACATTTCAGGAGAAAAAAGTGACTATCCTGGGGGCACGGGGTAGTGGGGTTAAGCGGGGTCTCCTTGGAGCTGAACTGGCTCTAGTCTCTAGTCCAGTTCCTGAGTCATGTGTCTGTAGTACTTCAGGGCACTGCTGATGACTGTACAGCCGGCCTGGCTCATAAGCAGGACTTGAAGAAGCAGGGAATCCTCCCACTCAGCAACAACAACTTGCACTTATATAGCGCCCTCTACGCAGGATAGCCTTACAGAGTGCTTAACAATGGCGGAGCCTGATTCAGGGCCGGGGGTGGGGAGGGCAGGTGGCTGCAGGAACAGTCGAAGAGGAAGCTTTTCAGGTGGGACTTGAAAAAGTGAAAAAGGTGAGAGAGAGGGCAAGGCAGAGGGATTGAGGGAGAGTGTTCCAGAGTTTCGGGACACAGTGGCTAAAAGCGCGAACTCCGATGGTGGGGCGGAGAATGTGAGGGACAAGCAAGAGGCCGGTGCCAGTCGAGCGGAGGCGCTAGATTTTCGGCTGCATTTGGGGTAAGGTATGGTCAGAGGCGGGCAATGTGGCAGAGGTGGAAAGGCAGTCCAGGTCAGGGACCGGATGTGGGGGAGGAAGGATAGTTGGAGGTGGAACTGGACGCCTAGATTGCGCACTGGTTTGATGAGACTGAGGGAGCGCCGAGGGAGGTTGAGATCCGCAGCTTAGAGCTTAGATCCACAGGAGTTAAGATGTTGACAGGAGCCATACATGGCATCGCCCAGAGGGAGCATAAAGATAAGGAAATGAAGAGGTCCAAAGATGGAACCCTGGGGTAACCTCAGAGGTGACTGGGTGGGGGCGGGAGAAGCAACCATTTGCTGAGATGAATTGGTGGCGGTTGGTTAAGTAGGACTCGAACCATGCAAGTGCGGTCCCACCTAGGTGGATAAGGGAGGAGAGGCGGTGGAGGAGGATGGTGTGGTCGATTGTGTCGAACACGGCAGAGAGATCCAGGAGGCCATTCAGCTTCTATTAACCCTGCAAGCCAATGTCCTAACAGGTAGGGTGGTCCTAGCTGGAAAAGCAGCAGGAAAGCTTGCCAGTCAGCGCTCTCAATGGGAAGCTTTGCAGTTTTAGCTGGCTAGACTCCAGCAGTTACCCCAACACACACTTTGTGGTCTCCAAGACTGACTCTTGTCAACCTGTGCCCAATACTTTCTGCAATTAAGTAACCAGGATGAGTCCAGGGAGAGAGTGTTTACTCCATTCCAGCAATCTATCTCTGGAAGTTCCATTTGTAGGTGGGATGCTTGGAATTCTCAGTCTGGTTTGGATACTCGTGAACATGGTGATGGGTTTCTGCATGTATCAGAGAACTGGCTCAGAGCATCAAAAAAAATAAGGAGGACAAGTATATGTTGGGGTAAAATATTAAAAGGAGTGCGAGAGCAAAGGGACTTGAGGGTTAATGTACATCAATCCTTAATCTCGGTGTCCCCCAGCTGTCCTTCCTCCCCCACAGCCAGTTGCTGACCAGGACTGCCTTCCTCCACCTTTGTCACATTGCCCGCCTCCAACTGAACCTTACTCCAAATGCAGCTGAAACCCTCGTCATGCCATTGTCACCTCCCACCTGGATTACTCAAACGCACTCATCGCCAGTCTCCCCAGCTCCACTTAAAAAAATCCAGCTCATTCAGAACTCTGCCGCCCACATACTAACCTGGACCAAACTCCGTACCCACATCTCACCAGTTCTGGCCAGGCTCCACTGGCTCCCCATCACCGAATGGATCAACTTCAAGATCTTCACTCTTGTGTTCAAATCCCTTCACTCTCTGGCACCTCCCCACCTCTCCGACCTCATTCCTTAATCCATCACCCGGCGCCTCGACTGGCATTGGCCTCCTGTTTGTTCCTCACACTCTCCGCTCTACCATTGGAGGTCGCGCTTTCAGCCGCTAAGCTCCGAAACTCTGGAACACTCTCCCTCAATCCCTCTACCTTGCCCCCCCTCTCCCCCTTTTCAAGTCTCACTTGAAAACCTTTGTTTCCGACCGTACTTCACCTCCCCCCTCCCCCCGGCTTGGAGTCAGGCTCTTAACAATGTTAAGTGTTCTGAGACTACCCTGCAAGGAGGATGCAAGTTGTTGTTTTAAAGGTGGGAAAGCAGGGGGACAAAGCTGTCAAAAAGCTAATGAAATCTTAGGTATAGAACAGAGGTGTAGAATATAAAGGCAAAGATGTAATACTAAACTTATATAAATCATTAGTTAGCCAGCAGTTAGAATATTGTGTCCAGTATTGATCCCCACTTTAGGAAAGATGTTAAGGTGATAATAGAATGGGTGCAGAGGAGATTTACTAGGGTGATACTGTGCATGAGGGCTTTGGCCTTAGAGCAGAGACTGGAGGAATTGGGATTTTTTCCGTTGGAATAAAGGAGATTGAGGGTGACCTGATCGAGGTCTCTAAAGTTATGAAGGGTTTTGTTAGAGTCAAAAGGAAGAAATTATTTCCACTGGAATTTCTGTGGTGTTATGGTGATACAAGTTTTCCGCATGTCCCAACTTCAGTGTGAAATAGCTGAACAGTAGCACCTCCTGCTGTTCAACACGATGTACTGCACACATGTTACACACACATGTTACACACACACCATGTTACACATAGATACACATACACGTTACTCACATATACACGTTACACATACATCATGTTACTCACACACACCATGGCACACATACACACACAAGTTACATACATACACACGTTACTCACATACACACATTACTCACACACACCATGTTACACACACATACCATGTTACATACACACACCATGTTGCACATAGACACACATACACACACACGTTACTCACATACACACATTATTCACACACACCATGTTACACGCACACACGTTACTCACATACACACACGTTACACACACAACAAAAACAAATTCTACTTGTATAGTACCTTTCATGTTGGAAAGACGTCCCAGGGCGCTGCACAGTCACGGGTTTTGGTCCCGAGCTGGGAGTTGGGTTCAGGAGGGGTGGAGGTGGGAGGGTGGCTGAAGGCACGGTCAAAGAGGAAGGGACTTTAGATGGGACTTGAAAGAGGAAAGATGGGGTGAGCCGGAAGATTTGTGGGATAGAGTTCCAGAGTTGTGAGGGCCGAGATGCTGAATGCGCAACCGACAGTGGTGGGACAGGAAATGCGGGGGACCTGAAGCAGGCTGGTATCCACCGAGCAGAGGGAGCGGACATGCGGGTATGGGGTTAGGAAGTCGGATAGGTAGGAGAAGCAACAGCGTGGAAGGCTTTGAAGGTGAGAACAAGGGTTTTTTACTTGATTCTCTGAGGGATGGGGAACCAGTGATGCCGGGATGTGGTTGCTGGCTGGAGAGTTGCCGGTGGGTATTTGCCAGGAGCGGGTTTGCCATGAGTGGTTGCCCTAGATGGGTTGCCTTGGAGGACTGTTGGGGCAGGTGGGGGGGATGGTGTTGGCAGGGGTGTGCGGTTGCTGGGTGTGATTGCCAGGGAGGACATGCCTTTGGGGGTTGCTGGGAAGGGGTTGGCAGGGTGGGGGTTGCAGGGGGATGGGTTTGTCAGGGGTGGGGGGGTTGCCTGGTGGGGGGGGCGGGTTTCCCACGGGGCTGGGCTTGCCTAGGGCGGGTGGGCTTGCCCAAGGGGGTGGGGTTGCCAGGGGCTTGCCCAGTGGGGTAGGGTTGCCGGGGACTTGCCCAGTGGGGTAGGGTTGCCGGGGGCTTGCCCAGAGTGGGTAGGGTTGCTGGGGGGGTGCTTGCCAGGTTTTTTTTGCCAGAGTGGGCGGTTGCCGGGGGTAATTGATGTTGCTGTATCATAGGTGACCAGAGCGGGGAGGAGCCCCGCAGTCAAGGAAGCCTGACCCTGTCCACGGTGATGCTCTGCCCACCGGCCACTCACTGCATCCCGTGTGTGAGAGTGCACGTCCACCTCGCCAGCGCAGGTACACCAGCTCCCACCCCCCCACCTGCCCTTGTTCCTGTTCTCTCTCTCTTTCTGTCACATTTTCTTTCTCTGTCACATTCTCACCCACACCAAACTCTGTAATCCCATCACACCAGTCCAGACTCTATTGGCTCCCTGTGGAGTCCTGTAGCTCAGTGTTTAGAGAACTCGCCTTGCAAGCAAGAGACCTGGGTTCGATTGCAGGCAGGACAAAATGTTGGGCAAGTTTCTTTACTCCACACGCCTGTTTACCTAGCAGTAACCAGGAACCTGGCTGTTGGTCGATTGGTGGATCGCTTTTCCGGGGGTAATAGTGACCAAATTATAGTAATATAGCAACTGTTTGTTGGACACTGCTATGAGCAAATAATTGGCTGCCGCATTTTGCCCACAAAATATATTCTGTGAAGTGCTTTGAGACATCTTGGAAGATGTAATAAGGTGCAATATCAAATGGAACCATTATTATTATCATCGAAACGATCGATTTCAAGGTCCTCACATTCATATTCAAATCCCTTCAGGCTCTGTCAGCGCTCAGATCTGCTTACTTTCCACTCCACTACCCACAGCCTCCACTCGACCGGCTCCGGCCTCCTGCTTGTCCCTCGTGCCCTCTGTTCCACCATTGGTGGCCACGCTTTCAGCCACTATGCCCTAAAACTCTACAACACTTCCTCAATCCTTTCGTCTTGCCACCTCCTTCAGGTCACGCCTGAAGACCTTCGACTGTGCCCACAGCTCCGCGTCGTGCTCCTCCATTGTCAAACTCTCTGAGAAATGAGAGGTGCTGTATAATTGCAAGTTGTTGCTGTTGTTCTCTATTTCTCTGTCACGTTTTCTCTTTCTCTGTCATGTTCTCTGTCTCACGTTCCCTCTCTCCTCAGTACCTGTGGAAATTCAGAGATTGCGGCTTCATTTCCTCGAGTATAGGACAAACCGGAACGCTGAGGTGCAGCTGCTGTTGGCGCAGGTGATCAGTACGGTGAGTTTCTTGTTCCTCTTTCCCACGTTGTGTGTGTTCAGGAATGATTCCGCCCGATTCTCCCAGCCGTGACCCTGGACCAAAATTACCAACTTACTGCAGGTGAATGTTGATAAATGGAAGCCATACTCATTTCTCCGTCAAGTCTTCTCACCTGTGACTCCAACCTCCTTAACCTCCTCAGCCTTTGCCTCAGACGTACTGAACCTGTGCATTACCTGAGCGTCAGGTTCAATCTGCAGCTGTCCTTCCTACTCCTCATCCTGTCCCTGACGGGACCACTTTCGTCCACTTCTTTCACATCCTCTGACCATACCTCACATCCAACACAGTCCAAAACCCTCATCCACACTTTCCTCCACCTCAATATTTCCAGTGCTCTCCTCACCAGTTTCCACATTCACGAAGTTCAACTGATTCAAAACTCCGCTGCCCATATCCTCAGAAAACTCTGCACCCCATCACCCCAGCCCTCGCAAGGCTCCACTGGCTCTGCTGCAGAACAAATCGGTTTCAAGATTCTCACACACATATCACTTCATATCACTTCATGACCTGGCACTTCCCTACCTTTCCAAACCGCTTCTTTTTTGGTCAGCCGTGTGTCTTGACACAAGCAGAAACTCATCCCCACACTTAAGAGTATCCAAACCAAACTGAGAATTTCATGCATCCCATCTACACATGGACATTCCAGAGACAGAGTATTGGAAAGGAATGCAAACTCTCTCCCTGGAAGGACACTTACCTAATTCTGGAAAGTATCAGGTACAGGCTGGCAAGAGCCAAGGCTTGGGGACGTCAGTAAGTTGTGGTAACTGCTGGAGTCTAACCAGCTCTGCTCGGAGATGTGAACACAGGCTTTTCTCCTCAGGCTGACTTTGAATATGAATGTTTTGAATCTGAGGCTGGTGCTTGGGTGGAGGTCACCGTGACAACCATTTCCGCCTCCAGGCAGGGACACCTGGAGCTGAGAGAGCGGTACATGCTGGAGGACACTGAGGCGGGTAGGGTAGGGTACTCTCTGCGGGACGGGGGGAGCGCGGGGGGGGACGGGCCTCCGCATCGCCATTTTCAAAACATGTGCAGCACATGTAATAACTTGGGATCATGTCAGCAGTGTGCTCACTGTCTTGTGTTAATCGCTCTGTCGTTGTTGTGTCACTACTGCACTGTCATTCCTGTTCAGCTTTATTAAACCACGGCCCCTCCCACCCTGCTCCCGGCCCCCCCACCCTGCTCCCGGCCCCCCCACCCTGCTCCCGGCCCCCCCCACCCTGCTCCCGGCCCCCCACCCTGCTCCCGGCCCCCCCACCCTGCTCCCGGCCCCCCCACCCTGCTCCCGGCCCCCCCACCCTGCTCCCGGCCCCCCCCACCCTGCTCCCGGCCCCCCCCACCCTGCTCCCGGCCCCCCCACCCTGCTCCCGGCCCCCCCACCCTGCTCCCGGCCCCCCCCACCCTGCTCCCGGCCCCCCCCACCCTGCTCCCGGCCCCCCCCACCCTGCTCCCGGCCCCCCCACCCTGCTCCCGGCCCCCCCCACCCTGCTCCCGGCCCCCCCACCTGCTCCCGGCCCCCCCACCCTGCTCCCGGCCCCCCCCACCCTGCTCCCGGCCCCCCCCACCCTGCTCCCGGCCCCCCCCCCACCCTGCTCCCGGCCCCCCCCACCCTGCTCCCGGCCCCCCCACCCTGCTCCCGGCCCCGCCCATCTGACTCCCAGCTCCACCCATCCAGCTCTCGCCCCCACCCATCCATCCCCAGGCTTCTCCCATCCCTCCCCCAAACCTACCCCTCCCTTTGATGACCACCAACTCCCTCACCTGTGAAGTCCAGGAAGAAGCTGTCAAGTGGATTTGTGGCAAACATGGGAAGCAGCTGCAAGGAGGTAGGGCTCCAGCCCACATGGGCCTGTCACTGAGCTCCCTGGAGGAGGCTTCACAGCGGGCATGTCTATTTGCCATGGACTGTCACAGAGTCCTAATGGGTAGGGTAGTCCTTGCTGCACAAGCAGTGTGAAAGCTTACCAAAATTTGTATGTTATAGTGATGTTGATGTCTGGTGCAGTGATGTTGACTCCCCCTCCTCTCTCACCACCACTATAACCCAGCTGCTCGGTCGACCCCTTGTCTACCCCTCTCCTTACCTCCCAGCTCCACCTCCTTGCCCCCCTACTCACAGACATCATAAACCTTTCCCTATCTCCACTGGCACCATTCCCACCCCTTTAAAAATGACCTACATCACTCCTTAAAAAAACCTTCCTAGACCCATCCCTGCTCTCAAATTACCGCCCCATTTCCAACATCCCTTTCCTTTCGAAGGTCCTGGAATGAGTCATTGCTTCCCATCTTCACTCCTTCCTTTCCCGTCACTCCCTTCACGAACCCCTCGAATCGGCTTTCCATACAGCCCACAGCACAGAAACAGCTTTGGTCAAAGTGACAAACATTTTGTCCATCTGCAACCAGGGCTCCCTCTGCTTCATTGTCCTCCTTGACTTCTCTGCTGCCTTCGATACTGTGGACCACTCTATCCTCCTTCACCGCCTCTCCTCTCACCTCAACCTTCATGGTTCTGCCCTTGAATGCTTCAGATTGTACCTCGCACACCGTCTCCACTTCATCTCCACAAACAGTTTCTCCTCTAGCCCCAGCACCGTCTCATGCGGCATCCCTCAGTGCTCTGTCCTTGGTCCCCTCCTCTTCAATGTATATTATGCTCCCTCTTGGTGACATCATCCGCAGATATGCGATCAATTTCCACATGTATGCAGATGACACCCAACTCTACCTCTCTGCCTCCACGCTCAACTCCAGGACCACTGCTGTTCTGACAGAATGTCTGTCAGACATCAAGTCCTGGATGAGAGCTAACTTTCTATAGCTGAACGTCAACAAGACCGAGGCTCTCCTGATTGGCTCCCCTCGACTTGCTCCCCCACCTCTGCTCCCCCCTACCAACCTGTCTCAAGACCCTACTCTTCGACCGTGCCTCTTTCTCCCCCCTGCCCTTCACCCTTCCCAATCCCGACCTCCAACTCTGGTCTGAAATAGATTGTCCAGCGCCTCCCAACGTGAAAGGCGCTATACAAATGTAATTTTGTTGTTGTTGTCGATGATGTTGTTGTTTGTTCTTGATGTTGTTCATGATGTTTTTATTTGTTGTTGTTGATGTTGTTGATTTATTATTTGTTGTTGATGTTGTTTGTTGTTGATATTGATGTTATTTGTTGTTGTTGTTGTTGATGTTTACTAATTGCTATTCTGCGTGTTTCTCAGGGCCAGAGTTCAATTATTCTCTTGATCTGGAGCGGAGGCAGATCGTGGTGAGCGTGAGCCCTGATAGGGAGGTGAATGCTGTGCTGTGTTACAAGCTGGCTTTGGCATGTCACGATTTACCCAACCGTTCCCATGTCCTGGTAAGGTGCCAGCAGCTGGTCCTGAGGCGATGGGTGGTACGATGGGTCAATTATATAATAGAATAACAGCATTTGCATTCAATATAGTCCCAATAACTTTGTAATTCGAATTCAAGATCCTCATCCTCACCTACAAGGCCATTCACGGCCTTGTTCCCTCCTACCTCTCTGACCTACTATCCCTCTACTTACCTGCCTGTACCCTCCGTTCCTCTGGCTCCGGTCTGCTCCACACCCCCCGCCCTAACTGCCTTACCATCGGTGGCCGGGCCTTCAGCCTCTCAGCCCTGAGGCTCTGGAACTCTGGAACTACAGGGATAGTGCCTTCGCCGCTTCCTCCCTTTCCTCCTTCAAGGCCGGTCTCAAGACCTTTCTCTTCAACCGTGCCTTCACCTCCCCTCTCGACTCTCTACCCCCTCCTCGCTCCCTCCCTTCCCTCCCCTTACCCTGACCATTTCCCCCCTGCTCAGGTCCCGACCCAACTGTCCAGCGCCTTGGGACGTCCTCCCGACGTGAAAGGCGCTCTATAAATGAAATGTTGTTGTTGTTGTTGTTCTAACATCTTAACTATTTCCAGTAATAGTTGGCAGTGAAGGGCAATGATTCTATTTGTAAACGAGTACCTCAACCAATCTGCACACATTTCACAGACAACCATGGAGTGAGCAACCAATTTATTTTGAAAGTTGTTGGCCAGGATACCGAGATAGAGAAACTCCCTTCTCTTTTCAAAGGAGCTTTAATATCCACCTGAACAGACGATAGGGATCTTGGTGTAATATCTAATCATAAGGGCATCCTCTCTGATAGCACAGCGCCTAAGGTTAGGTTACTCACTGATGAGACAAAGGTGGGTAGGTAGGTACATGAACCAATGGTCTGCGCTGGCTGTATCCAGCAACACGGGGAAACCTCATGTAAGTTTCCTTACTCCACACACCTCGCACTAAGTAGGAACATGGGTGTTAGTCGATTGGCGGATCGTATCCGGCGGTAATGATTCCTTAAAAAAAACATTTGGTTACTCAATCCACGACTGTTTGTGGGCACTACTGTGTGCAATTGGTTGTTGTGTTTCACATAGTTACTCCACTTTACAATATATTCTGTGAAGTGCTTTGAGATATCTTGACAATGTGATAAGGTACTATATAAAATGCAAGGATTATTATCATTACATTGCTGCGGCTGGCCGGCTGTATTCCTCTGGTACAGTTGATTGCTCAGAATTGTTCTATTGCCGAAGCTTTCTGACTGTAACTTTCTGCCTCTCTGTATGTAGATTGGAGCGCTGGCCTGGAGGGTGCCGCTGTCATATGACTACCTGATACCCTGTCTCTGCATTGAGGTAACCATGGTGCCCGCTGTATAACCAGTGATCAGAACATGTTTCACCTCAGCCAGCCCATGACCATGTGCCACACGTTGTCACAGAACGCAGTGGAGGTGGGAGAGGCTGGAACGTTTAGAAGGGAGATGGTTGGGAAATAAGAGGTGGGGGACAAGATGGCGGATGGAATACCCTGGCAGGACAGGTTTGACAACACTACATTTCCAGATGCCTTTCACCTTGGGAGGACATCTCAAAGGTTTACAGCAGTGATTGGGAACGTGAGTAAGCCAGGGGGGAGGGGGATATGGAGAGAAAATGTGACTGAAATCAGGAAAAGATTGGCTTCAATTAATGGGCTTAATGGCCTCCGGTTCCTATCCTGAGGTTCACAATGAGCCATGGGGAGAGGATGGGGGAGTAGACAGATTGTGGAGTGGGGGGGTTCCTGGAGCTGTTTGTTAAGTGAGTGGAGGGAGCTGCCTGTGGGGTGGAGTTTGGGGTGTTGTGAGACGGAGAAATGGTCAAAGAGGGTGTCAGGGATCCCCTGCCCCCAGACATCTCACAATCAAAAATGATACCAGGGATGAGGCACTACAATTATGTGAAGAGACTGGAGAGGCTGGGATTATTTTCCTTAGAACAGAGAAGGTTGATAGTTTAATAGAAGTGTTTAATAGAATAGAAAGTGTTCAAAATTATGAAGGGTTTTGATAGAATAGATAGGGAGAAACTGTTTCCTCCGATCGGTGGGTCAGTAACCAGAGGATACAGATTTACGATAATTGGCAAAACAACCAGAGGAGAGATGAGAATTTTTTTCCTCAGGGAGTTCATTCTTTCACTGAAAGGATAGTGGATGCAGATTCGATAATAGTTTTTAAAAGGCTTTTGGATGGCATTCACAGCGCCTTGGGACGTCCTCCTGATGTGAAAGGCGCTTTATAAATGGAATCTTGTTGTTGTTGTTGTTGGATAGGTACTTAAAAAGGAAAAAATTGCAGGGCTATGGCATAAGAGCGCGAATTTCCTTCAGCTAAATGTTGACAAGACAGAAGCCATACTCTTTGGCTCTCGTCAACATCTAAAATCACATGGCTCTCACCTCCTCCATCTACCCGACCTCCCCCTAAAACTCTCCGAACCTGTACGCAATCTAGGCATCAGGTTCAACCCCCAATGATCCTTCCTCCCCCATATCCGGTCCCTCACCAGCACCGCTTTCTTCCACCTCCTACGCATCACCCGTCTCCGCCAATGCCTCACTTCAAAAGCCGCCGAAACCCTGGTCCATGCCTTTGTCACCTCTCTGCTGGACTATTCAAATGCGCTCCTCGCCGGTCTCTCCTCCACTACCATCCATAAAATCCAGGTTATCCGAAACTCTGCCGCCCGCATTCTTATCCACACCAAACTCCGCTCCCCGATAACCCCAGTCCTTGCCGGACTGCACTGGCTGCCTATCCCAGAGAGGATCGAATTCAAGATCCTCACCCTTGTCTTCAAATCCCTCCGCTCCTCTGAACCCCCCGACCTCTCTGACCTCTCTCTTCAAAACAGTGCCCGTTGCCTTCGCTCCACCGGGTCTGGCCTCCTCCTTGTCCCCCGAGTTCTCCGCTCCAACCTCAGTGGCCGTGCCTTCAGCCACGATGCCCCGAGGCTCTGGAACTCCCTTCCTCACTCCCTTTGCCTCGTCCCCTTCTCTTTCTATTTTCAGGTCTCGGCTGAAGACCTTTCTTTTCGTCCGCGCCTTTGGTCACCTTCCTCCCCCGGCTCGGCCCCGGGATCCGTTACTGTGAAGCGCTCTGAGAAGCCATCCAGCGTGGAGGGTGCTATATAAATCCAAATTGTTGTTGAAGAGTGGGCAGTGGGACTAGTTGTCGGCTCTTTCATAGAGCCGGCACATGCACGATGGGCTGAACGTCCTCATTCCTTGCTGCAAGATTCTACGCAGAGATCAGCCGGGTGTCTGACACACACGGAATCTCCTAACCATGATCAGCTGAATGTCTGACACACGTGGAAACCCATCACCATGATCAGTCGGTGACGCACATAAAAATGCCTCGGCGACTGGCTGACTCCAGGTTTCTCTCCCCAGGTGTTTTCCTCCACGTATGACAGTGTTCGCACACAACTCTGTCCCTTCAAGAGAGACCCAGAGGCTTGTGAGTATCAAAGCGGGGGCGGAAGAGCCATGCCAGGGTGTGGGTCAGTGCTGGGGTTGCACCATACTGGGGGGGGGGGACTGTGTCATGGAGAGGGCTGTGCTGGGGAGGGGCTGTACTGGGGGAGGGGCTGTGCTGGGGAGGGGCTGTGCTGGGGGAGGAGCTGTACTGGGGGAGGGGCTGTGCTGGGGGTGGGGCTGGGCTGGGGTGGGGCGGGGGTGGGGGTGGGGTGGGGCGGGGGTGGGGGTGGGGCTGTGCTGGGGGTGGGGCGGGGGTGGGGGTGGGGGTGGGGCTGTGCTTGGGAGGGGCTGTGCTGGGGGTGGGGCTGTGCTGGGGGAGGGGCTGTGCTGGTGGGTGTGGCTGTGCTGGGGTGGGGCTGTGCTGGGGGAGGGGCTGTGCTGGGGTGGGGCTGTGTTGAGGGTGGGGCTGTGCTGGGGGTGGGGCTGTGCTGAGGGTGGGGCTGTGCTGGGGTGGGGAGGGGCTGTGCTGGGGTGGGGCTTGCTGGGGGTGGGGCTGGGGTGGGGCTGTGCTGGGGGTGGGGGTGGGGTGCCGCTGTGCTGGGGTGGGGCTGTGCTGGTGAGGGGCTGTGCTGGTAGTGGGGCTGTGCTGGGGAGGGGCTGTGCTGGGGTGGGGGTGGGGCTGGGGTGGGGCTGTGCTGGAGGCGGGGCTGTGCTGGGGGGGGGGCTGTGCTGGGGGGGGGGCTGTGCTGGGGGGGGGCTGTGCTGGGGGAGGGGCTGGGGAGGGGGTGGGGCTGGGGTGGGGCTGTGCTGGGGTGGGGCTGGGGTGGGGCTGTGCTGGGGGGGGCTGTGCTGGGGTGGGGCTGTGCTGGGGGAGGGGCTGGGGTGGGGGAGGGGGTGGGGCTGTGCTGGGGGTGGGGCTGGGGTGGGGCTGTGCTGGGGTGGGGCTGGGGTGGGGCTGTGCTGGGGGGGGCTGTGCTGGGGGGGGGGTGGGGGCTGACGAGCTTGTGACTGGGGCTCTGATGATCGGTGTCAATGTGTGCGGCTGTGGTTTGTGCTCAGACGGCGCTGACCTGTGGCGGTCGAGCGCGTTCTCCTCGTTCCTCAGTGAACCTGACACCATGAAGATACGTTTCTCCAGCGAGTGCCGAATAGTCCCCCGTGTCTCCCTGTGTTGGGTGTCTGACCACACGGCGGCCGCCTGTCAGCAGATTGCAAATTCAACCATTGAAAGCCCGAACAATGTGAGTAAGAGAGAGAGACAGAGCGAGCGCTGTACAGTCAATATTTATACTGAGTGCAACAGCCGCTCACTGAGGGGACATTGGACAGAGGGTCACTGAGGGGACAATGGACAGAGGGTCACTGAGGGGACATTGGACAGAGGGTCACTGAGGGGACATTGGACAGAGGGTCACTGAGGGGACATTGGACAGAGGGTCACTGAGGGGACATTGGACAGAGGGTCACTGAGGGGACATTGGACAGAGGGTCACTGAGGGGACATTGGACAGAGGGTCACTGAGGGGACATTGGACAGAGGGTCACTGAGGGGACATTGGACAGAGGGTCACTGAGGGGACATTGGACAGAGGGTCACTGAGGGGACATTGGACAGAGGGTCACTGAGGGGACATTGGACAGAGGGTCACTGAGGGGACATTGGACAGAGGGTCACTGAGGGGACGGTGGGAGGGGCCGAGGGGACGGTGGGAGGGGACGGTGGGAGGGGCCGAGGGGACGGTGGGAGGGGCCGAGGGGGGGGCCGAGGGGACGGTGGGGAGGGGCCGAGGGGACGAGTGGGAGGGGCCGAGGGACGGGGGCCGAGGGGACAGTGGGAGGGGCCGAGGGGACAGTGGGAGGGGCCGAGGGGACAGTGGGAGGGGCCGAGGGGACAGTGGGAGGGGCCGAGGGGACAGTGGGAGGGGCCGAGGGGACAGTGGGAGGGGCCGAGGGGACAGTGGGAGGGCCGAGGGGGACCAGTGGGAGGGGCCGAGGGGACAGTGGGAGGGGCCGAGGGGACAGTGGGAGGGGCCGAGGGGACAGTGGGAGGGGCCGAGGGGACAGTGGGAGGGGCTGAGGTGAAATTCCACCTGATGTCAGATCCCAGAATCATAGAAACGGAGAGAGAGAGAATGGCCGTCGTGTTTGTGCTCCTCTGTAAGAGCAATACTTTCATCCCATGTATCTGCCTCTTCCCCTCCCACACACACACTCTCACACACACTCACACACTCACTCTCACACACTCATGAAAATGACTCCTCTTTAGACAATGTCTCATTCCGTTTTAAAAGCTAATCTGGATTCTGCTCCACCACCACTGTCGGCCGGACATTGCACACCCAGTATGGGTGTTTGGGTAAAATCTCCCCTCTGCCCATTAACAATTTTAGGTTATGCAGAATTTTAAGTTCACTCTTATTTCAGAAGCCAGTTTTCTGCAGTTTTATATAATTTTAAAGCAGCAGCTTTCAGATGATGACTGAAGTTTAGACTTTTCTACAATTCTGTTTCATCTTGAACCTTAAGACTAATTGTTCTGGTGGCTACAACAGGTGAAATTTCATTCCTGTTTGTGAATTTCTATGTAGAACGTAGTTTCAACCTATGGTTTTTGTACATTTTTAAACTTTTCATTATCTGAATCAAAATTCAAATTCAGTATAATCCAGTTCCATTGTAAATACCGCTTTCTCTACGTACAGCTCATTCAGTATATTCCCACCCGGGGAGCTCGGGTCCCTTTCTCTCATCGTGTTTGAGAACGAGAGTGTGACTAGAAGTTTACAAGTCATGTTTGACCAACCTTATCAAATTCTTTGTAGAAGTAAACGATAAAGTAAACATGGGAAATAATATTATAATAATAATAATCCTTGCGTTTGATATAGCACCTTATCACATGTTCGAGACGCCTCAAAGCGCTTCACAGAATATACTGTAAAGTGAATTGACTGTATATTTTGTGGCCAAAACGCAGCAGCCAATTGCGCACAACAGCGTCCCACAAACAGTCGTGAATTGAGTGACCAATTTTATTATTGTTTTTGGTTTTGGAGGGATTATTATTAGGCTCTGTGTGGAGTAAGGAAACTTGCCCAAGGTTTCGCCCTGCCTGGAATTGAACTCAGGTCTCTCGCTTGCAAAGCGAGTGCTCTAACAACTGAGCCACAGGACTCCACAAGGAGTTGTGTTGATGCAATTGTATTACAACAGGCACTGAGTCAGAGAGAACAACAATTCTGCCAGCTGTGTACAAACCTGCCTTTGTCAGTGTCATGTAAACTTCATGCAAATGGTAAACTGGCAGTTGAAATGAGCCTGTTGGCATTCTGTTGTTTGTCCTTCTCTGGCTCTTACCCCAGGCCTGGCAGGGTTCCACCATCCACCAATGCAGTTCTCTGGAAGGGAGTTCACTCTTGAGTGTCCGGTTACAGCATTCAGTCCTGGGCTGATCTTCCCAGCGTGCTTCCTGCCAGCCTCAATGTTATTTCACTGTCTTATCCAATAAATCACTCAATCACTTTGTTGCTGTGTACAAAATGGCCATCACAATTGTTTACAAATTTACAGTCCATCTCTACACTTGACAGCAACTCCCTGTGAAATGCTTTATATGAATATGGATGGTTGAATGTTCACAGCACAGAAGAAAAACTTACTGGTGTCTTTCCTGAAATTGCTCTTTGCAACTCTAAGCCCGTGTTTCTTGATTTGTTGACTTGGTGCATCCGAAGGCATTGATCTGGGTTTCCTTTCTCAGTCCATTTAAAATGTTATACACGTCTATAAGATCCCTTCTGAGTCGTGTTCTCTCAAGACTGAAGAGCCCAAGCTTGCAATATAGCAATATAGCCAAGCATCCTGTTTGTCTTAGTTTATTGCTGTTTAACATAGTGAGCGATGAGACACCCCAATATCTCTTAGTAAAAATATTTGCATTTGATAAAGTGTCTCTCACGTTGGGAGGACGTCTCAAACGGCTTCACAGAAATTACTGCAAAGTTCAGTTTATACACAGCAATATCCCAAAAAGAGTTGTGAAGTAGTTGACAATTTTATTTGAGGGTTGTTGACCAGGACGCTGGGATAGAGAAACTCCTTCCTCTTTTCCAATTGCAGTGCCCTGTGCTGTAACATATGACACCTCACCGCTGTGTGTTGGACCTCACTGTGCTCACTACACAGATTGTGCACCAGACTGCAGTTCTCTGTCAAGCAGCTTTAGATGTTTCAGTGTTATAGGCACCACATCAAATGCAGGGATTATGATGTAATTATTTCCCTTTCCTCGCATCCCGATTCGTCATATTGCCTACTTCCGTCCGTACCTCACAACAAAAGGAGCTGAAACCCTCATTGACGCCTGTGTCACTTCCCAGTTGGACTATTCCAATGCCCTCCTCACTGGTCTCCCCAGGTTCACCATACGTAAAATTCAACTAATTAAAAACTCCGCCTCCTGTATATTCATTGGCATGAACCTCCGTACCCGCATAACACCCGTCCTTGCCAAGCCCCCTGGCTCCCAATTGCTGAACCACTCAATTTCAAGATCCTCTCACTCATTTTTAAATCCCTTTATGCTCTTGCATCTCCATAACTATCCAATTTGCTTATCCCCCACTCCCCCACCCGCTGCCTCTGCTCGGCTGGCTCCAGCCTCGTGTTCGTCCCTCATTCCCTCCAGTCCACCATAGGTGGCCATGCCTTTAGCCACTATGCCCCAAAACTTTGGAACTCTCACCCTCAATCGCTCTGCCTTGCCTCCTCTCTACCCACTTTCAAATTCTGCCTAAACACCTTCCTTTTTGATTGTGCTTGTGGTCACCCGCCTCCTCCCCTGGTTTGGGGTCAGACTCCGCCACTGTCAAGCGCTCTGGGATGCCACCCATAGTGAAGAGTGCTATATAAATGTTACTGATTCACACGACACATAGAGTGAGCTGGCCTGGTTGCTCTCTGCCTGATACATTGTGTTTACGTTGCTCTCTCTCTGACTTGACAAACTGCTTTGGCTCATTGGATTAACATACTTTCCATTCCAGGCATGGCTAAGACAGGGTAAACCTGTTACAGGTATCAATGGCCAAAATCAGGGTCACACCTTCTATAACTGCTGCTCCCAGACCAACATAAATAGCACATGTAATAAATACGCACTAAATGGTGAATCAGTCACCAAGGGCAATTTCACCATAATAAACCTTTTGTTAGATTTTGAGCCTTGTTGCATCGTCCGGAAGTCTCAAAGTGCTTGTAAAGTGTAGTGACTATATTTTTTGGAAGAAATGCAGCAGCCAATTTGCACACAGCAACGTCCCACAAACAGCCATGGAGTGAGTGATCAATTTTATCTGGGGGATTGTTGGTCAGGACATCAGGAGAATCTCCCTTCTCTTTCAAATAGTGCCATGGGATCTTTTAACATCCACCTGAACAGGCACAGACAGGGCCTCAGTTTAACATTTCATCTGAAGGACAGCGCCTCTGACATTGCAGTGATCCCCCAGTATAGCACTGGAGTGTCACCCTGGACTATGAGCTCAACAGTCCAATGTCCCACGACACGAGTTGTGGTCCATAGATCATTCTGCTCGTCCAACCCAAACTCATTCATTCCCGTTTGAACTAGAAAATCGCTGCTCTCTTCCCTCTGATCTCGTGACAGCTTGTGAGTCTCAGCACCAGGGCCCGGGACAATATTTTACAAAGCATGTTTGTAAAAAATACTAAAAAAAACAGTTTCAGTACATCTGGAAGCAGTTTGTTATCAACGTTTCTTGCACTCTCTTGTAAATGACGTCCCAGGCATTGCTCCCACACACAGACACTATTTGGTTCTGTCTGCGCTGAGGAGATAAAACGGCTGAGACCTTTTGATAATTAGGTTATGTTACCGAGAGAGAAGCCATGAAGCCTGTTGGGTTTTATTTGAAAACCTTATTGTTTTTCCTGTAAAGTATTGAATTGTTGGTTAAACTTTACATTTTTTTATACTTTGTTTAATTCTATGGTTACTACCTTTGGAGTCGGTGTTTGTATATACCTCAATTTAGAACATCTGTAAACAATTAACAACAAAATTACATTTGTAAAGCACCTTTCATGTCAATGTCAGGAGGTCGTCCCAAGGTGCTGAAAGCATTTGAAATTAAAAAACAAAGTTCTTTATTTGGCAAAGGAGCTGGTGTGATCGAAATGATTTATGCAGACTGTACAGCATGGAAGCAGGCCACTCGCTCAACCAGTGTGTGCCAGGTTTATATTTCCACTTCACAGGAGTTACTGTAAAGTGTAGTGACTGTTTTATAGCCAAACACAGCAGCTAATTTGCAGCCAGCGGGCAACGTCCCACAAACAGCCATAGAGTGATTGACAATTTTTATTGGGATTGTTGGTCAGGTCACCGAGAGAGAAACTACTTTTCTTTTGAGTAGTGCCGCAGAATCTGTAACGTTCACCTGAACAGGCAGCCTGGACCTTGGTTTACTGCCAGTCACATCCGTGCGTTCAGGAAAGCTCAGGGAACAGCGGCTGCAGTGACTGAGTTCCTGGAATCAAGGCACAACATGGAATGTCCCAACCTCACTGAGCAGCCTATACAAACACAAGCACCCGAGCAGCATCACAGCCCCCACCGCTCAGCCTACAGGACAACAACCAGAGCGGGCAGTGACTGGCACCCGGAGAGATCAGGGCAGCGACTGGCACAGGGAGGGCTGGCAGTGACTGGCACCCGGAGAGATCAGGGCAGCGACTGGCACAGGGAGGGCTGGCAGTGACTGGCACCCGGAGAGATCAGGGCAGCGACTGGCACAGGGAGGGCTGGCAGTGACTGGCACCCGGAGAGATCAGGGCAGCGACTGGCACAGGGAGGGCTGGCCAGGGGAGGGCTGGCTAGGGGAGGGCTGGCAGTGACTGGCACGGGGAGGGCTGGCCAGGGGAGGACTAGCAGTGACTGGCACGGGGAGGGCTGGCCAGGGGAGGGCTGGCAGTGACTGGCCAGGGGAGGGCTGGCAGTGACTGGCACGGGGAGGGCTGGCAGTGACTGGCCAGGGGAGGGCTGGCAGTGACTGGCCAGGGGAGGGCTGGCAGTGACTGGCCAGGGGAGGGCTGGCAGTGACTGGCACGGGGAGGGCTGGCAGTGACTGGCCAGGGGAGGGCTGGCAGTGACTGGCCAGGGGAGAGCTGGCAGTGACTGGCACGGGGAGGGCTGGCCAGGGGAGGGCTGGCAGTGACTGGCCAGGGGAGGGCTGGCAGTGACTGGCACGGGGAGGGCTGGCAGTGACTGGCCAGGGGAGGGCTGGCAGTGACTGGCCAGGGGAGGGCTGGCAGTGACTGGCCAGGGGAGGGCTGGCAGTGACTGGCCAGGGGAGGGCTGGCAGTGACTGGCCAGGGGAGGGCTGGCAGTGACTGGCCAGGGGAGGGCTGGCAGTGACTGGCCAGGGGAGGGCTGGCAGTGACTGGCCAGGGGAGGGCTGGCCAGGGGAGGGCTGGCAGTGACTGGCCAGGGGAGGGCTGGCAGTGACTGGCCAGGGGAGGGCTGGCAGTGACTGGCCAGGGGAGGGCTGGCAGTGACTGGCCAGGGGAGGGCTGGCAGTGACTGGCCAGGGGAGGGCTGGCAGTGACTGGCCAGGGGAGGGCTGGCAGTGACTGGCCAGGGGAGGGCTGGCAGTGACTGGCCAGGGGAGGGCTGGCAGTGACTGGCCAGGGAGGGCTGGCAGTGACTGGCCAGGGGAGGGCTGGCAGTGACTGGCCAGGGGAGGGCTGGCAGTGACTGGCCAGGGGAGGGCTGGCAGTGACTGGCCAGGGGAGGGCTGGCAGTGACTGGCCAGGGGAGGGCTGGCAGTGACTGGCCAGGGGAGGGCTGGCAGTGACTGGCCAGGGGAGGGCTGGCAGTGACTGGCCAGGGGAGGGCTCACACACACCGACAGCCTTTGTTACTTGAGTAAAGTTCGCGCTGATTGTGAAAGCTGAGCTCGGATTGCGCACCGTCTCAGCACCAACCAAACTGTGGGGACAGATAGAGAGACAGAGACGGACAGAGAGAGAGACAGACAGAGAGACACAGAGAGAGAGACAGACAGAGAGACAGAGACGGACAGAGAGACAGACAGAGAGACACAGAGAGAGAGACAGAAAGACAGACAGAGACGGACAGAGAGACAGAGAGAGAGAGACAGACAGACAGAGAGAGAGACAGACACACAGACAGACAGAGAGACACAGAGAGAGAGACAGACAGACAGAGACAGACAGACAGACGGGTGGATAGAGGAAGTTGGAAAAGAGACTGAGCGAAGGAAGGAGAGTGTGTGGGAGGAGGAGAGGGAAAGTTGGGAAGAGGCGCCGCCCTCAGTCCGCGAGCGGCGCTGAGTGGGTTAATGGTGTCCGCGGGGGTCGCGGTGTGGCCGCTGCTCTCTCTCCTCTGTCACTCCGGAGTCCGGTGTGTGGACACAATCCGAGGATCCGTCCCGCAAGTCAGATGTCCTGAGGTGAGATTCCCACTCCCTCTGTCAACCCCGTCCCCCCCCCACCCCCCACCCCCCCCCCCCCCACCCCCCGTCTCCCCCTCACCCCCCACCCCCCCCCCACCCCCCCCCCACCCCCCCCCCACCCCACCCCACCCCCACCCCCCCCCCCCGTCTCCCCCCCACCCCCCCCCCCCCATCCCCCCGTCTCCCCCCCACCCCACCCCACCCCCCGTCTCCCCCCCCCACACCCCCCCCCACCCCGGTCTCCCCCCCACCCCGGTCTGCCCCACCCCCCCACCCCGGTCTCCCCCCACCCCCCCCACCCCGGTCTCCCCCCACCCCTTGGGGTTTAGGTGGTTCTGGTTGGACTATAAGCATGAAATTTGCCAGAGAGAACTCCAATGGTAAACTGGGGGTTTAGCTGCGGGTTTAGCGGGGGTTTAGTGGGGGTTTAGCTGCGGGTTTAGTGGGGGTTTAGCTGCGGGTTTAGTGGGGGTTTAGCGGGGGTTTAGCTGGGGTTTAGCTGCGGGTTTAGTGGGGGTTTAGCGGGGGTTTAGTGGGGGTTTAGCGGGGGTTTAGTGGGGGTTTAGCTGGGGTTTAGCTGGGGTTTAGCGGGGGTTTAGCGGGGGTTTAGCGGGGGTTTAATGGGGGTTTAGCTGGGGTTTAGCTGCGGGTTTAGTGGGGGGTTTAGCTGCGGGTTTAGTGGGGTTTAGCTGCGGGTTAGCGGGGGTTTAGCAGGGGGTTTAGTGGGGTTTAGCGGGGGTTTAGTGGGGTTTAGCGGGGGTTTAGCTGGGGTTTAGCTGCGGGTTTAGTGGGGGTTTAGCTGCGGGTTTAGCGGGGGTTTAGCAGGGGGTTTAGTGGGGGTTTAGCGGGGTTTAGTGGGGTTTAGCTGGGGTTTTAGCTGCGGTTTAGCGGGGGTTTAGCGGGGGTTTAGCGGGGGTTTAATGGGGGTTTAGCTGGGGTTTAGCGGGGGTTTAGCGGGGTTTAGTGGGGGGCTTAGCTGGGTTTAGCTGCGGGTTTAGTGGGGGTTTAGCTGGAGGTTTAGCTGGGGTTTAGCGGGGGGTTTAGCGGGGGTTTAGCAGGGGGTTTAGTGGGGGTTTAGCGGGGGTTTAGTGGGGGGCTTAGCTGGGTTTAGCTGGGGGTTTAGTGGGGGGGTTTGCGGGGGTTTTTAACTGGTTAAACTCCAGGAGTTACCCTAATCCAAACTGTGGAAATTTCAAGCCTTAGCTTTTGCCAAACTGTGTCTAACCTCCGGGCAGAGAGTACCCCTTTGCATTCCAGATGTGGACAGTTTTATGTGAAGGCGGCATCCACCGAACTGTCTGGTTTGGAATCCTGTTATGGAGTCCTGTAGCTCAGTGGTTAGAGCATTCGCCTCGCAAGCGAAGACCTGGGTTTGATTCCCGGCAGAGTGAAACCTTGGGCAAGAAGACGTGAAAAGCGCTATATCAAATGCAAGCATTATTATTATTAATATTCTCTCTCTCTGTGTGTCTCTCAATCTCCTGATTTTAATCTTTCTACCTCACCTACATTCCCACTCAGCCTCTCCTCCACAGTAAACAATGAAAACCTGGGCTCTACATTAATGATAATAATAATCTTTGCATTTGATATAGTGCTTTTCACATCGGGAGGACGTCCCAAAGCGCTTCACAGAACTGTAAAGTGAATTGACTGTATATTTGTGGGTGAACGCGGCAGCCAATTGCGCACAGCAATGTCCCACAAACAGTCGTAGATTGAAAATGACCAATTTATTATTGTTTTTGGTTTTAGAGGGATTATCATTACCTCTATTAACACAGCGTTGGAGTCCACATTTTGTCAAATTCTTAAACACTGTAATTGTGGCTGTCACTGTGAAGCCGGTTTAGGAAAATTTATTTTTAAGATTGACAGAAAAATGGATTTTGAAGTTAAAACCAAATTCAGCAATTTGCCAAATTCTGCCTACTCTGAAGTGTTAGGTTAATTGAGTAAATCTAGAGCCAGGTCTGACCTTCCTGGATCACCCTGACCCCAGGGTTTGAGACTCAGCTGACTCTCAACTACGCTTATCGTGTGTCAGCCCGGCTCAGAGGCAAAGGTGGATGGCAGCCAGAACATAAGCAGAAGGTTAAAAGGACATTAAGGTGTCACTTTGGCTCAATCACCAGCACCTTCCAGGTGGGAGTCAGGATGTTGCGAGAGTTGGGGGTGAGGTGAACAGTCCAGGCACTGGCAGGTGCTGGGGAGGGAAGGTGAGGTATTTACAGGAAGAGTTTGTTGCTGGGAGAACGTGAGGTCCAAAGGTTTAATTCCTGTAGCTGATGATTAACTCATTCAGAGTTCAGCTTCAGGTCAGAAAAACAATAATCCTTGCCTTTGATACAGCTCCATTCAACAACAACAACTTGCATTAATATGGCGCCCTTTATGTGGGGTTGCGTTCCAGAGTGCTTGACAGTGGCGGAGTCTGACCCCGAGCCAAGGAAGAGGGGGGTGGGGAGGTGACCATAAGCACGATCAAAATAGATGGTCTTTAGGTGGGATTTGAAAGTGGGGAGGGAGGGGGGCAAGGCGGAGGGATTGTGGGAGAGCTTCGGGGCGTAGTGGCTGAAGGCATGGCCGCTGGTGCTGGAGCTGAGGGGATGAGGGACAAATAGGAGGCTGGAGCCGGCCGAGTGGAGGCAGCAGGTGGGAGTGCAAAGCACTTCACGGATATGCTGTTAAATGACTTGGTGTTTTGTAGGTGAACATGGCAGGCAATTTGTGCATTGTATAGTCTGCCAATAGCCGTGGAGTGAGTGACTGATTTTATTTGGTGGATTGTCAGAAAAGGCAGAGAAAACTACTTACTCTTTTCAAATACTGCTGTGGAATCTTTAACGTCCATCTGAACAGACCGGGCCTCAGTTTAACATCTCATCTGAATGATGGCACCTCTGATAATACAGCGCTCCCTCCCCCCCCCCCCCACCGCTGACTGGAGTGTCAGCTCAAACTATGTTGTGAGGGTTGGGGGTGAGCTCAAAGTCCCAACCTAGGGCTTGAACCCACAACCTGGTGACTCAGGGATGAGAGTGCGAGAGACTGAGCCGGGCTGACACACATACCCCATTAACATTTAACTGTGCTGAATTTGGCATTTTTAAAAATTGAGTCTGAATTTTGGTGAAGGGTTGGGATAGCTTTATTCTGGTGACTGAAACCATCTGAAGAAGTTTGAGAATATTGGATTGAACTATGTGATAATTATCACATCGCCAGACAGTGTGATCCAAACCCTGTTATGCACAGGTTTGTCACTGAGTCCCAACCACTCCCCACGTTCGTGTGTGTACTGGATCTGGCTCTTACTGTGTGTGAGTGTGTAAGCGTGTGTGGTGTATCTAAATAATAAATAATAATCCTTGCATTTGATATAGCGCTTTTCACACCTCTCGAAGTCTCAAAGAACTTCACAGAATAGACTGTAAAGTGAATTGACTGTATATTTGTGGGCGAAATCTGTGTATTTTTGTGAGTGTTCTGTGTCTCACCTTTTCACACAGTTATGATGTTTAGTCAGACAGTGCTGTGAGCTCGTGCGGCTGGATAGACAGTGTGTCAGAGAGTGTCTGCCTCTCTGTCAACTGTACCTGGGACAGGCAGAGTGGGGGTGTGTGACAGGCAGAGTGGGGGTGTGTGACAGGCAGAGTGGGGGTGTGTGACAGGCAGAGTGGGGGGGTGTGACAGGCAGAGTGGGGGTGTGTGACAGGCAGAGTGGGGGTGTGTGACAGGCAGAGTGGGGGTGTGTGACAGGCAGAGTGGGGGTGTGTGACAGGCAGAGTGGGGGTGTGTGACAGGCAGAGTGGGGGTGTGTGACAGGCAGAGTGGGGGTGTGTGACAGGCAGAGTGGGGGGGTGTGACAGGCAGAGTGGGGTGTGACAGGCAGAGTGGGGGTGTGTGACAGGCAGAGTGGGGGTGTGTGACAGGCAGAGTGGGGGGGTGTGACAGGCAGAGTGGGGGTGTGTGACAGGCAGAGTGGGGGGGTGTGACAGGCAGAGTGGGGGGGTGTGACAGGCAGAGTGGGGGACTATGTGTGACAGCAGAGTGTTTGTGTGTGTGACAGGCAAAGTGGGGGTGTGTGACAAACAGAGTACGGGGCTGTGTGACAGGCAGAGTGTGTGTGTGTGACAGGCAGAGTGGGGGTGTGTGTGACAGGCAGAGTGGGGGTGTGTGTGACAGGCAGAGTGTGGGTGTGTGTGACAGGCAGAGTGGTTAAACAGAAAGGAATCATTTAATGAGAGTGTGAGCAGCGTGAGTATGAGCAGTGACTAATGTCTCTCTCTCTCTCTCTCTATGCGTAGGGCTTGTCCTGTGAGGTGAAAGGTAAGTGTTTAATTTGTGTTACACAGAACATTCATACTCTGTTTGTCCGAGATCCTGAGAGACAGTTTACGTGGTTAGATACTTATTCACACACTCATTCATACTTACATATTCACACCCACCCACACACTCACAAACACATTCATGCACTCACACACACACACACATACATACATACGTACATACTGCGACAGATCTCATCGCTAATATAAACCCGCAAAGTGTGTTTCCCGCTTAGGATGAACTAGGTGGCCTCTGTGCTCAATCGTTCTCTGTGAGTGCGAGTTCCCTATTCTAAGATATAACTTCACTAATGAGAGTCAACACGAAGCTTCTGTCAGAGTCCTCCACACCAGCAGATTGATGTAGGCTCAACCTATGTATGTAAATCACCTCCTTCCTGATTTGAACAGAGACTCGAGAAGCACGATTAAGAAAGCTTAATGGTATTTTATTGGTTTTTCAAACACAACCGTATGCGTTACTTAACTGTTCTTTAAATATTAAAACAATTGCAACATTGAATAGTATTCCCTAACACACTATACTATACATGGACATAGACAGACTGCTAAAATGGGCAGACAGGTGGCAGATGAAGTTTAATGCAGAGAAATGCGAAGTGATACATTTTGGGAGGAAGAATGAGGAGAGACAATATAAACTGATGGTACAATCTTAAAGGGGTGAAGGAACAGAGAGACCTGAGGGTTCTTATAGGTAAATCTTTGAAGGTGGCAGGAAAGGTAGATAAACCTGTTAAACAGCAAACGGGATACTTGGCTTTATAAATAGGGGCATAGAATACAAAAGTCAGGAAGTTATGATGAACTTTTATAAAACACTGGTTAGGCCTTAACTAGAGACTGTGTTCAGTTCTGGGCACCGCACTTTAGGAAGGATGTCAAGGCATTGGAGAGGGTGCAAAGGAGATTTACCAGGATGGTACCAGGAATGAAGGACTTCAGTTATCAGGAGAGGATTAGGATTATTCTCCTTGGAGCAGAGAAGGTTAAGAGGAGAATTAATAGAAGTTTTCAAAATAATGAGGGGATTTGATAGGGTGAACAAGGAGAACCTATTTCCACTGGCGGGTGGGTTGGTTACCTTAGGGTACCAATTTAAAATAGTTGTTAAAAGAAACAGGGTCTGTGAGTATCTGGAATGCAATGCCTGAAAGGGTTGTGGAAGCCGATTCAATAATAAATTTTAAGACAAAATTAGATAATTATTTGGGGATGACAAGTTTGCAGGGCTATGGAGAGAGAGTGGGGGAGTGGGATTGAATTGGAAGCTCTTTTCAAAGAGCCGGCACAGACACGATGGGCCGAATGGCCTCCTTCTATGCTGTATAATTCTATGATTCAAAAGATCCATCTCATTCAGAACTCTGCCGCCCACATACTGACCTGGACCAAACTCCGTACCCACATCTCACAGTTCTGGCCAGGCTTCACTGGCTCCCCATCACCGAACGGATCGAATTCAAGATCATCGCACTCGTGTTCAAATCCTTTCACTCTCTGGCACCTCCCTACCTCTCCGACCTCCTCACTGCCCCATCCACCACCCAGCACCTCCGCTTATACTGGCACTCGGCACTCACACCCTCCGTCCCACCATCAGAGGTCTCGCTTTCAACCTCTACGTCCCGAAACTCTGGAAGACTCTCCCTCAATCTTTCCGCCGTTTCCCTCTCTCCCCTTTTTCAAGTTCTGCCTGAAAACCTTCCTCCTCGACCGTGCTTATGGCCACCTCCGCGCCCCACCCCGGGCTCGGAGTCAGGCTCTGCCACTATTAAGCGCTCTGAGACGCTACTCTGTGTGGAGGGAGCTATATAGGTGCAAGTTGTTGTTCTTGTTGTTTAACATGTTAGTAAACAACAGNAAAAACAATCTTGACTCAGAGGATTCTTCCTGAAGTTAGGCACGCACCTTTTTGATGACAAAACAAGGTGAATAGGAACCGTGAGTCATTTGGGCTCGCGCCTTTTAAGGGCATTAGACCCAACCTCTTTTAGAAAATATCAACTGATATTTTTCCCGGCCTAATTGCATTGTATTACAGTGACTCCACCACTTGGATCCTTGCAACCCTCTTTTTCCTTCCAAATTGTTTACCTTTAAATGAAAATACTGTCTATGGACTTTAAGATGCTCTTGAAGCTATACGCCATATGCTCGTTTCTGTGTATGAGCAAGTAATAGCACAAACATCAAGCTTTCAATAACAGACAGGCTTACTGAAGCTCTCAACAATAGATAGGCACAAATATACGTGAAAGAAGATTAAGAAACATAAATAATGGGGTGTCCGTAATACATACATATACACATGCACACATACACATATATCGGTGTCCTGTAGCTCAGTGGTTAGAGCACTCGCTTTGCAAGCGAGAGACCTGAGTTCAATTCCAGGCAGAGGGCGAAACCTTGGGCAAGTTTCCTTACTCCACACAGAGCCTAATAATAATCCCTCCAAAACCAAAAACAATAATAAATTGGTCATTTTCAATCTACGACTGTTTGTGGGACATTGCTGTGCGCAATTGACTGCCGCGTTCGCCCACAAATATACAGTCAATTCACTTTACAGTGTGTTCTGTGAAGCGCTTTGGGACGTCCTCCCGACGTGAAAAGCGCTATATCAAGTGCAAGGATTATTATTATTATTATACACATACGTATACTTTCAGACACATGCACATACATATGGGGTTAGCATGACAATGTAACAGTCTCTGGATGTGGAAGTCTTCATAAAGAGAAATGATGGGAGCCAGTGGAATGCCATTCCTGACCTGATTATTTCCTCCAGATAAACAGCTCTGTCTCCCCGGGAAGGACATCCAGCAAGTGTCAGGACGAGTCCTGCTTCTCTCAGGCCTGAGCACCTCCAGCGTGCTGCACTGTGAGAGCCCTGAGCTGTGCTCCCCGTGTGTGCAGGTCCACGTCAACCTCTCCGTCTCTGTCTCCATCCCTGACTCCAGCTCCATCTCCAGCTCCGGTCAGTTCAGCTGCTAACAGAGTCTCTAAACAGCTCCCGCTTGCCTCAGGCACAAAGGGATTTGGAGCTCGGAGGCCGAGTTCAGAAGGTCTCCTTGTACAGAGGCAGTGGTTGTTATTTTTCACTTGCAGAAACCCAGCACCATGCTTAAGAGTATCCAAACCAGACTGAGTTCCATACTTCCCACCCCCACATGGAAATTCCTGTCTGAAGGGATGCATCCTGCTTATCTAATTTGCTAGTATTAGTCACAGGTTGACAAGAGCCAATACTCGGGAACCCCAGAGGAACTGTATTGGTCATTAAAGGTGGAAGCAATACTATAAAAAAGACAACTGGATATTTAGTTTTATGAACAAAGACAGAGAAACCACAAGCAAGGAGGTGATGGGGAGCTGGTTAGACAGCATATAATAATACTGTCGTCATAATAATCCTTGCATTTGGTGCAGGGTCCCTATCACATCATTGAGACATTTCACAGTGCTTCACAGGGCCTACTGTAAAGTGTAGTTACTGTATTTATAGGTAAATGCAGCAGCCAACGTATGCACAACAATGTCCCACAAATAGCCAAGAAATAATTGATGATTTTCCCTGGGGGATTGTTGGCCAAGGCACTGAGAGAGAGACACTTCTCTTTTTCAATAGCTCCGCTTGTTACATTGAGCAATACAGAAAGGAAACAGGCCAATAATCGGTCTTTATAATCCACACAAGCCTCCCCACCTCTGTCCCTATCCCCTTGTGTCCACATCAAGTTTTCTCTTAAATGCATTGAAACTTTTTGTTCCAACCACAGCTCCCGGCAGTGAGTTCACCAGCCAGCCTCTGTGTGAAGAAGTTCCTCCTAAACTCTCTGTTAGATCTGTTGCTGACAAGCTTAGATTTATACCGTCATCTCATCTATACCTGGAAACACCTGATCAAATCCTTTCATAATGAATTTACAATTTGTTCCTCACCAGATATTTATCCAGTTCATTTTTTAAAAGCATTAATTAACACAAGATAAAATCCAGGTTTCTCCCGATATTGCTTCTGTCCTCTCTCAATCTGATCACCTACAAAGAAACTGCCAGGCTGGTTCAGTCTCTGACATTTTTATTAAATGTAACATTAAACCGAGGTCCCATTTGCCTGTTCAGGTGGACGTTAAATCCCATCATACTGTTCAAAAATAGAAAAGAGTTTCACTCTCCTGGTGTCCTGGCCAATAATCCCCCAAATAAAATTGGTCACTCACTTCATTGGCTGTTTGTGGGACGTTACCGTTTGCAAATTGGCTGCTGCGTTCACCCACAAAATACACAGTATGTTCTGTGAAACATTTTGAGACATATCTGCAATTTGATAAGAAACTTCCAAATACAAGGATTATTATTCAAATTCCACTCAAGGTGACAGGAAATTTACTACAATGATTCCAGGGATGAGTGGAGACTGAGGGAACTGGAACTTTTTTCATAGAAATAAAAAAGGTTGAGAGGTGACCTGATCAAGGTCCTTAAAATGACGAGCGGTTTTGATAGTCAATAAGGGTTGTGTGTGTGTGTGTGGGTGAGGAGTGTGTGTGTGGGTGTGGGGTGTGTGTGAGGTGGGTGTGTGTGGGGTGTTTGTGGGGTTTGCGCGTGTGGGGTGTGTGTGTGGGGTGTGTGTGGGGTGTGTGAAATGTGGTGTGTGTGTGGGGGGTATGTGTGTGTGTGGGGGTGTGGGGGTGAGGTGTGTGTAGGTGTGAGATATGTGTGTGAGGTGGGTGTGAGATGTGTGTGGATATGGGGTGTGTGTATGTGGCGTGTATGTGAGTGTGGAGTGAGGGTGTGGGATGTGTGTGGTTGTGCAGTGTGTGTGGATGTGGGATGTGTGTATGTGGGGGTGTGTGTGGGGAGCTGTGAGGTGTGTGAGGGTGTGTATGTGGGGTATGTGTGGGGTGGGTTTGGGGGCTGTGTGTGTGGGGGTTTTGAGAGGTGTGTATGGTGTGTGTGTGTGTGGGGTGTGTGGGTGTGGAGTGAGGGTATCTGGTGTGTGTGGGATGTGTGTGGGTGTGTGTGGTTGTGGAGTGAGGGTGTGGAGTGTGTGTGAGGAGTGTGGGTGAGAGGCGTGTGTGGTAGGTATGGGTCTGGAGTGAGGGTGTGTGTGTGTGGGGATGTGTGTGAGGTGTAGGTGTGGAGTGATGGTGTGGGGTGGGTGTGGGGGATGTGTGAGGAGTGGGGTGTGAGGTGTATGTGGTGTGTATGTGTGTGGGGTGGAGTGTGGGTTGTGTGTGTGTGGGGGAGTGGGTTGTGTGTGTGTGTGTGTGGTGTGGGGAGGGAGGTGGGTGGACTCTAGCTGCTGTGATAAGATTGGGGCCAAAATCACAAAGATCCTGGCTGAAGTGGAGCTGGCTGTGAGCCTCACTGATGTGTCTGTGGCAGGTCTCACGAGGGGCTTCAGCGGAAATTGGAGCAAGTCCAATGGAAACATGGGCAGCACCAGGGGAGAAGGAAGTGGGGAAGCTGCTGGTGATGATGATGAAGGTAAGTGTGAAAGAGAGGAGGTGCAAATAATACACAGGCCTCTGTTTCTGCACACTGTCTCTATTCATATGTTAAAGTACTTTCACCCACACCCACACATACTCACACAGATTCACACACACGCGCACGCACAGATATACACGTACAGATATCCTTTGTGTTATATCATGCCCCATCTCAACAACAACATGCATTTATATAGCGCCCCTCATGCAGGGTAGCGGCCCAGATCGTTTAGCTCAAACCCATCATACTCAGACCAGCCCTGTTTCACTGTCTGTTTGTTAATCTGCCCCTGAGAAGAGTGTGAGAGATGATTTCTGATAAGACTTTTTACGATAAGTTTAAGATTATCCCCCCACCGTGTCCCATGTCAGATCCTTGGCCAAACGGCACTCCTGCACTCTCTGTGATTAGCAGAGGAGCTGGGTTCAGCGTCTGTGCTGCTAGCTCCCTGCCCTTCCTCACCCACACTTCCCCGGGATCCCCACATTACCCTGGAGTACATCACACTTTACCCCCCGAACCCACACCCCCGGGGTGTTCCAGCTCTGTCTGAGACAACGGTGATCTTTGAACTTTAATGGCTCATGCTGGGTGAGTCAGTGTCAGCCTCCTTTCAGCACAAACACTATTTGTTTCACGTTCAGAAGCTACGTGTAATCAAAGGTGCTATTTTTAGCCTTATCTTCAGTTGTTTAATGTCAGACAGCGTGACGCCAATTTACTACTTTTCAAGTGAAATGTAGCTTCACTCGCTCCCTCTATCCCTCTCTACCTCCTCCCATCCCTCCTAAATATCCGTGGAGTGAGTGACCAATTTTATCTGGGGAATTCTTGGCCAGGACACTGCGGAGAAAAACTCCCAACTCTTTTCGAACAGTGCGTCGACATCTTTAACATCCACCTGAACAGGCAGATGGGACGTCAGTTTAACGTCTCATGAGAATGACAATACAGCGCTCCCCGAGCACTGCATTGGAACATCAGCACAGACTGTGAAGTCACAGTCCCGACATGGGACTTAAACCCACTTGCTTCTGGCTCAGGAGAAAGTGTGTTAGCCTGTGCTGGCTGGCATGTTAGTTGGTTGGTGTTGTCTGTGTAACAAACAATCTCGTCATTTTCCTCACAGACACGATGGTAATGTACATCATGTCCCACCAGGATGAGGGGGGAAAGCACAGCTGTGTGGAGCTCCAGATTGAGCTGCCTCCCCCCAAGCCCAGGCACAACAGGGCAGGGGAGGAGGGGCCTGTGGTAAGTGTGAGGGAGGAAGACTGGCAGGGGAGGCAGGGCCTGTGGTAGGGTGTGAGGGAGGAAGATGCTGGCCTTTCACACTGTCCCTCACTGATTCATCCTATTACCCAACACCGTCGCTCCTGCAGGCATCATCGGACATACTGTTGCCTGGGAAGCTACAGACACGAGACTGCGCGAGCCGCAAAGTGTAGTAACTTGGACGTTGTGTGGTTTTCCTTTGGTCAGTCAGGTGTCTACACCGTGACCCGGCACTGTGATCAGCCAGGTGTCTGACCCACACAGATGCCCATTAGCATGATCAGATGGGTGTCTGATACACGCCCGTGATCAGCTGGGTGTCTGACCCATACCATAACCCGTCACCATGATCAGCCGGGTGTCAGGACATGAGTAGAAACTCCCTGCTCTCTTTGGATAGTGCCCTGGGATCTTTAACGCTCACCTGAACAGGCAGACAGGACCTTGGTTTCATGTCTCAAACGAAGGACAGTGCCTCCGCTGACTGTCAGCGTAGACTGTATGAGCTCCAAGTCTTCACATGGGCCTTGAACTTATAATCTTTTGACCTAGAGGCGAGAGCACTATCAATTAGGCCAGGCTGACAGTGTGGAGGAAGGTTATATTTGGTACAGGGAATTGGGATTAGGATAGATGTCACCACTGGAGGACCAAAGTCCCCCACTGATGGAACCTCGCAGTGTTTGGTAGATTTCTGTGGTTCGGTTCTACTCTCTCCGGTGACGTTGGCGGGTAAAGCCAGGCCGATGCTGATGAGAAAAGTGATTTGATTTTTTTTCTCAGGGCACCGTGGAGTTCAGCTGTTTCCCAGCATCCATGAACACTAACGTTCTGATAACAGTTTTCACAGACCCCAAATGGGAGGAGCCTTGGAACCTCACACACAAAGTGCCAGGTCAGCATGCGAGCACACACTACCCTGATCACTGCTCAGAGATAGGAACATAGCTCACACACTGCAGCACAAGAGCTCTGTGTACAGACACAGCCAATCCATCCAAACGGATTATTGTGAGCCTATTGGGCCTGGAACTTAGGCTCTGGCTCTGACATATAAATCCAGAAGCTCAGGCCTGGAGGCTTGGCCCTGGTAATAGGATGCTGGAGACCGGAGATGGAAAGCTCCAGTTACACTACTGAGCAGAATAATGCTAGGGTTTGGGGAGGGGAATTATCACTTAGATTATTATTTTCTAACACTTTTGTTGTGTTTTAACAGACTGTTCTGTGAAGGATTTCTTGAATATTAAATCGTGCGAAGGTGAGTAAGAGATGTACCATTGTGACAGTGGAGAGTCTGATAGCCTGAGAAGTGCTGTGTGACTGTCTTTCTGTTTATCACAGTACCGGAGCCCTGCGTTAGGCTGGAGGACGTGGAACAGAGAGCTGTGGTGATTGTTCCTGACAATTACTTCCTGAGGTTCCTGTATGATGTGATGCCAGAGTTTGAGAGCACAAATCCCCAGGACTCCGGCAAACTGGTGAGGAGGCGCCCTGACACCATTAATAGCCTTAGATTTTTTGAGTAGTAGTAGAGTTGATTTTTGGTTGGGTTGAGTCCAGATTCTTTGTGTGGATGGTGTTTGGGACATGAAGCTAAACAGACGTAACTGTGGGTGAGGAGGAAGACATGGCTGACTATTGGTCCAGGCTCAAACCCAGGCTCCCAGGCTCTTTCTTGGTTCCATTCCCGTTATTTCAGGAACTGTTACTGGAGTGGCCTCCAGGGACCACGTCTGGTTTTAGTTCTCAATTACTGTAATGGCTACAAACACAACACCTGTCAATAACATGCTTTCATATTGTCTACTCACAACTCTTTTATATCATTCTTTCCAGAAGGAGACCGAGGTGCAACGGAGCTTCCGAGACATTGTCCCTTGTCTATGTATCGAGGTATGTTTTAGGCTTCAGACACCCAAACCAGACTGAGAGGTTAATGTGTGGTCAGGCTTCACATTGGAAGGGGCTGAGCTAGGGACAGGCAGATCCCTCCTCACTGAGCGGAATCATCACACAATCAAGGCATGGATTTCGTTATGGCTTCTCAGTGTTTCAGTAAAGCAATGGAATGTTAGAGAGCTCGAGTGGGGGGCGAACACCAGCACAGACACAATGGGGAGAGAGCAGGGAATGGGATTAGAAAAGAGAGCTCCAGTGGGGAAGTGAGCACCACTTGTGATAAACTCTGATGGTGTCTGACCCTCTCTCTGAAGGTGTGGTCAGCGTCAATGGCAGACGCCTGGAGACGAAGAAAATGTCCCTTTTCAAAAAGTGAGTTTGGTGACTCTCTTTCTACCTTTCTCTTTCTCTCCCTCCCTCTATGTCTTTTGGGGCTTGTGGGGGGGCGAGTGAGCAGGGTGAGTGTGAGCAGGATGAGTGTGAGTGGTGAGTGTGAGCGGGGTGACTGTGAGCAGGGTAGGAGTGAATGAGGTAGGTGAAAGGCACTATACAAATGTAATTTTGTTGTTGTTGTATAGTCAGTGCTGATGTTGGTACTCACTGTGTTGATGATCACTGTATTGGTGTAGCCCCAGGGTTCAGGGGGAACGTGTGGCGACTGAGCCGACTGCAGGTGGAGGCCAGGGGCTTGGCGCTGCAGTGGACATTCTCCGCCCCCTGTAATGTGTCCGGCCACATCACACTCTGCTCCAGGTCACAGAGCGGGGAGTGTCAGGAGGTCAGCGGCTCTCGGCAGCAGCTTCATATTAATGTAAGTCAAAGATTCCAGCCCCAACAGTGCCAGAGCACTGGAGCTGTGTCATTGTGTGTGTGCCTTCATGTCTGTGTGTGTGTCATTGTGCGTGTGCCTTTGTGTCTGTGTCAGTGTGTGTGACTGTGCTAGTGTGTGTCTGTATCAGTGTGTATCTATATCAGTGAGTGTGTGTGTGTGTCAGTGTGTGTATATTAGTGTCACAATCTGTGCGTGTGTTGGTGTGTCACAATGTGTGTGTGTGTGAAAGAGATAATAGAGCGTGCAGTGTATGTTTGTGTAGTTGTTGCTCTGTATATTGAGGTGGGAGGAAGTGACAATGGTCCTGGGGCTGAAATGAACATCACTGAATCCTGAGACACAACTGATTCTCCCTCTGAACAACTCCTTTTCAGACACTGAGAGAGTTCAGGGACGTGGAACCACACCCTTCGCTCTGCGTGCAGGTAATAATAATAATCCTTGCATTTGATATAGCGCTTTTCACATCAGGAGGACGTCCCAAAGCGCTTCAGTGAATTGACTGTATATTTGTGGGCGAACGCGGCAGCCAATTGCGCACAGCAATGTCCCACAAACAGTCGTAGATTGAAAATGACCAATTTTTATTATTGTTTTGGGTTTTGGAGGGATTATTGTAACAGATCGTTAGACACAATTACCAATACAATCTACATTTACACAGCACCTGTCATGTGGGGAGGATGTGTCACAACAACAACAACAACAAAATTACATTTATAGAGCGCCTTTCACGTCGAGAGGACATCCCAAGGCACTGGACAGTCAGGGGTCAGAACCCGAGCATGGGGAAGGGGTGGGGTAGGGGTGAGGGAAGACAGAGAGGTGGGAGGGTGACTGAAGGCACGATCAAAGAGGAGGGTCTTGAGACTGGCCTTGAAGGAGACAAGGGAGGAAGCGAGGCGAAGGGACTTTGGGATGGAGTTCCAGAATGTGGGGGCAGAGAGGCTGAAAGCCCGGTCACCAATGGTAGGGCGGGTCGGGTGGGAGACAATGAGCAGGCTGAACGGAGTCAGCAAGTCAGAGAGGTAGGAGAGGCAAGGCCATGGATGGCCTTGAAAGTGAGGACAAGGATCTTGAATTCGATCCTTTGAGGGATGGGGAGCCAGTGGAGTCGGGCGAGGGTGGGAGTGATGGGGTCGCGGAGCCTGATGCGCGAGAGTACACGAGCTGCAGAGTTTTGGATGATCTGCAGCTTGTGAAGGGAAGAGTTGGGAAGTCCGATGAGGAAGGAATTTCCATAATCGAGCCTTGATGTAACGAATGTGTGGGTGAGGGTTTCGGCAGCCTGAGGGGTGAGGCAGTGGTAGAGTCTGGCAATGTTGCGGAGGTGGTGGTAGGCAGTGCTGGTCATGGTGCGGATGTAATAATAATAATCCTTGCATTTGATATAGCGCTTTTCATGTCTTCTCGACGTCTCAAAGCGCTTCACAGAACAGACTGTAAAGTGAATTGACTATATTTGTGAGCGAAACGCAGCAGCCAATTGCGCACAGCTGTGTCCCATAAACAGTTGTGGATTGAAAATGACCAATTTTTTATTATTGTAAATAATGTCGGGATGTGGGGGAGAAAGGACAGCTCAGGGTCAACAAGACACCCGGGTTCCTGATTGGCTTAGTGAGGTTGAGTGTGCAGTTGTGGAGGCTGATGCTGCCAGCGCCCGAGGTGCGGAGGCGCTGGCGTGAGCCAATCCTCGGTCTTGCTGACATTCAGCTGGAGAGAGTTGTCCCTCGTCCAGGACTTGATGTCGGACAGGCAGTCAGTCAGGATGCCAGTAGTCCTGGAGTTGAGGGTGGAAGCAGAGAGATAGAGTTGGGTGTCATCCCAACAGTGCAGGAGTGGGAACCCAGGGCCGTGGGAGGGGAAAGATGACTGAAAGTACAGTCAGAGAGAGATTTCGAGATGGACCTTGAACGAGGTGAGAGGGGAAGAGTCAAAGGGAGTCTGGGATGGAGTCCTCATCTTTAAAGCTCTCCTAGGTCTTGCTTCTCCCTACCTCTGTGACCTTCTAAAACCTTACCAATCTTTCCACTTCCTCCACTCCACATCCCCACTTCGAAATCTAGTTTAAATCCGGGCTTCACTGGCTCCCTGTCGCAGAACGGAGCAATGTCAAGGCTCTCACTCTGATTTTCAAATCTCTTCATGCCATGACACCTCCCTATCTCTCAGAGCTACTCGCCACTTCTCTACTCACTGCCTTCACTCAGCTGGCTAAGGGTCTGCTGCACGACCCTCGTTCTCTCCGCTCCACAATTGACGTCCGTGCTTTCAACCTCCACCCCCTGAATCTCTGGAACTCCCAGCCTCATTTCCTCTGCCAGCCAGCCTGGCACATCGGCAGGTCTTGGAGGGGAGACCAGTGACTGAGTGGGCAGGGAATCCTCCCACTCAGGTAAGCAGGATGCTTCCCTCCAGGGAGAGAGTGCGTACTCCATTCCAAAAATCAATCTATCTCTGGAATTTCCACATGTAGGTGGGATGCATGGTTTGGGTTGGGCATGTGTATGTAGTGTATGTGTATGTAGTGCACATGTATGTTGTGTGTGTATGTAGTGCGTGTTAGTGTTAGTGACAGTCTCGGTGAAATCACAGTGGTGAAGCAAGCTGTGGCCCTGAGTCAAGCCCTTCCTGATAGTGACGCTGTCACATATCATGGAAAGCATCTCCACTCAACCTGGGAGCAGTGGGGAGTGTCTGACTGGCAGTGACTGTGTGCGTGTATGTGTGGGTGGGGCTGCTCTCCTTAGTGATGGCAAAGTCTCCAAGAAACTCAGAGGTTAATCACTTATTAAACCAATTACCAAGTGTGTTTACCTGAAGCAGTAATTCCACAATGTGTGTTACATTCACTTGGGAATTATAACCTGGTTGATATTGTTCCTCCTGTTTGTTCAGGTTATCTCGGAACCTTACATCAATCTCACATGTCCTTTTGGTGAGTAGATTACGGGAACGTCGGATAAACTGCTTGGATAATCTAGTCTGACTGGTTCTGTGACATTTTTAGAAATGAAGGAGGAGCACAATGACTGCGTCAGTGCCCCAGCGCTCGGTAATACACCTGTCTACACTCCACCCCACAGGCTTTTTCATTATTAATTTGAGAAATCGCATTTGAATGTTTGTTTGGTGAAGTATATGTGTAGCCTGGCTCAGTGCGTGCAGCCCAGCTCAGTGTGTGTAGCCCGGCTCAGTGTGTGTAGCCTGGCTCAGTGTGTGTAGCCTGGCTCAGTGTGTGTAGCCCGGCTCAGTGTGTGTAGCCTGGCTCAGTGTGTGTAGCCCGGCTCAGTGTGTGTAGCCTGGCTCAGTGTGTGTAGCCTGGCTCAGTGTGTGTAGCCTGGCTCAGTGTGTGCAGCTTGGCTCAGTGTGAACTATGCCACAGGATCACACACTGAGCCAGGCTACACACTAACCCGGGCTACACATACTGAGCCAGGTGGACATACTGAGCTAGGCGGACACACATACTGGGGTGATTTCAATACAAACCTCTTCCTGCCTCCTATTTGATAACTAGAAGCCAATCAACCTGAAATCCCTCCTAGATTACCCTGCTGAAGCTTGATTTTCTTAATAAACACCAGCCAACAAATTAGATTGAATTTTCCACAAATCTGTCGGTTGTAAATTTTGCAGCAGAATGGTGAGAAAAGAGGAATTCAGGGACTGACACTGGGCAGTCTGATATAATCTCAGCAGGCAGTCTGATATAAACTCTCAGTCACTCCGCTCCTTGTGTGGGTGGCCTGCGAGCTGTTTCTGGGCCTTAAGCTCACTTTTATTCAAGTCCCTCTCTTTGTCTCTGTGCAAACACCTGTATCTGCACCAATGATCCTGTGTGACAGACCCTGACCCTGAGAGACAGACACTGATCCCAGTGACAGGCGCTGATGCGGGATGACGGGGTGATAAGTGATGTAGAGGTGCTTGCTGTTGTGGCTGATGTGAGCCAATAATTGCAGAGACCCCTGTCCCGTGGAGCGTGGACATGCAGTTGCTGGTGAAAAACGTGACACTGATTGTCCGACACCCGACCAGGATGGACTTCTCAATGTGTGCACTGAATGGAGACGAGTGTGAGCTCCTCACACCCACGATTCAGGAGGTCAGTCAATCCACGACTGTTTGTGGGACATTGCTGTGCGCAATTGGCTGCCGCGTTCGCCCACAAATATACAGTCAATTCACTTTATAGTATATTCTGTGAAGCACTTTGGGACGTCTAGAAGACGTAAAAAGCGCTATATCAAATGCAAGGATTATTATTATTAGTAGTAAATGACCAACTAGTGACTATTCTCCTTGAAAACCTGCAATACTTTCCAGAATTAGATAAGCAGGATGCATCCCTCCAGGGAAAGAGCGAACATTCCATTCCAAGAATCTATCTCTGGAATTTCCATGTGTAGGTGAGATGCATGGAACTCGTCAGTTTGGTTTGGATATTCTTAAGACATCCGTTAGGGCAAAAATAATCAATGTTACAGAAAAATTTGCCAACCAAACAGCTAACCACAGGGCGGACAATCTAATCTGGGGTCAGCGACCAATCCCATTAAAACTCACGTGGGAATGCTCCTCTGGGAATAGATTGGAGCACAGTTCCTGCAGGTCATGTGGCCTACGTCCAGTTACAAGAAAGCGTTCCCACATTTGTGCAACTAAGAATTTTTATCAAGGAATTTTATTAAGAAACATATTCTCAGGCCCAGAAATATAACACATCAAATAATTCTCCATGAGGAGGGAGGACTGAAGGTGAGGAGGGAGGAGTGTGAGGTAAGGAGCGCAGAATGAGGGGCAGTGTGTGTATGCTAACGACTTTCACTTCTCTTCCATGTTTGACGAAGATGGCTGATGGGAAGCACTTTCACATTTCAAACCTGTCTGCTCCCCGCTGCCTGCAGGTCAGTGTCCCTGTGAGAGATTTCACATCTTTATAGCAGCTTATACCATCAAAATATCTGAAGTGCTTTGCAGGATTTACTGTAAAATGAGGTGACTGTGTATTTTGTCAGCGAATGCAACAGCCACTTTGCGAACAGCTAATGGAGTGAGTGATCGATTTTATTTGGGATGTTATTGGCCAGGACACTGGGAGAGAGAAACTCGCTTCTCTTTTCAAATAGTGCCAGGGGATTTTTAATGTCCACCTGAACAGGCTCACACCGCGCCTCAGGTTAACATCTGGCAGCTTAGCCATAGCGAATAGTCAGGTTGTCTGGAGATTCAGGTGAAGGTTGTGCCATGCCTCTAACAATTCTTGTTGTTATTCATCAGTTTATGTCATTCCATTCAGCTTCTGTTAACCCTGCAAACCAAATCCCTAACAGGTAGGGTGATCCTAGCTGGACAAGCAGCAGGGAATCAACCAATGACAAGCTATGTGGTTTTCGCTGGTTAAATTCCAGCAGTTACCCCAACACACACTCTGGGGTCCCCAAGTCTTGGCTCTTGTTAACCTAATATTTCGGAATAGGTAAGCAGGATATGCATTTCATTCTAATGAACATCCCTGGAATTTCCATGGGTAGGTGGGATGTATAGAATTCTCAGTTTGGTTAGGATATTTGGATATTGCATGACCAAAAAATCGACTCTTATGTCTAAATCATCTGACAAGATTCCTTCCTTTCAGATCTGGAGATCAGACGTGAGTTTTTCAGCCCGAGTTACTGTTTGTCCCTTTGATACCTGTAAGTCCTTGTCACCAGCGCATCATCAACAACAACAGTTCACACAGCGCCCTTCATGTAGCGTAACATCTCAGAGCGATTACCAGAGATGGTGTCAGACACTGAGACAGGGAGAGGGGGAGGGGCAGGTGGGCATTGGCGAGGTCAGTGAGGCCGATGTAAAGACACAAGTTAGGGTGGGATGGAGGAGGAAGGTGTGTGTGTATGGAGGGGAGAGGGGCTGTGTTTGTGTGGGGGAGGGGCTGTAGGTGGGGGGAGGGACTATGTGTGTATGGAGGTGCGGAGGCGCTGTGTGTGTGGGGGGAGGTGGGGAGGGGCTGTGTGTGGGAGAGGAGGTGGGGAGGGGCTGTGTGTGGGGGAGGTGGGGAGGGGCTGTGTGTGGGGGAGGTGGGAGGCGCTGTGTGTGGGGGGAGGTGGGGGGAGGGGGGGGTGTGGGGGGGAGGTGGGGGGGGCTGTGTGTGGGGGAGGTGGGGGGGGGGGGCTGTGTGTGGGGGGCTGTGGTGTGGGGGCTGTGTGTGGGGGGGCTGTGTGTGGGGGGGGTGTGTGTGGGGGGGGTGGGGGGGGGCTGTGTGTGGGGGTGTGGTGGGGCTGTGTGTGGGGGCTGTGTGTGGGGGGCTGTGTGTGGGGGGGCTGTGTGGGGGTGTGTGGGGGCTGTGTGTGGGGGGGCTGTGTGGGGGGGCTGTGTGTGGGGGGCTATGTGTGGGGGGCTGTGTGTGGGGGGCTGTGTGTGGGGGGCTGTGGTGGGGGGGCTGTGTGTGGGGGGCTGTGTGTGGGGGGCTGTGTGTGGGGGGCTGTGTGTGGGGGGCTGTGTGTGGGGGGGCTGTGGTGGGGGCTGTGTGTGGGGGGGCTGTGTGTGGGGGGCTGTGCTGTGTGTGGGGGGGGCTGTGTGTGGGGGCTATGTGTTGGGGCTGTGTGGGGTGGGGAGGCTGTGTGTGGGGGGCTGTGTGTGGGGGGCTGTGTGTGGGGGCTGTGTGTGGGGGCTGTGTGTGTGGGGCTGTGTGTGGGGGGGCTGTGTGTGTGGGGGCTGTGTGTGGGGCTGTGTGTGGGGGGCTGTGTGTGGGGGGGCAGTGTGTGGGGGGGCTGTGTGTGGGGGCTGTGTGGGGGGGCTGTGTGTGTGTGGGGGCTGTGTGTGGGGGCTGTGTGTGGGGGGGCTGTGTGTGTGGGGGGCTGTGTGTGGGGGCTGTGTGTGGGGGGGCTGTGTGTGGGGGGGCTGTGTGTGGGGGGTGTGTGGGGGGCTGTGTGTGGGGGGCTGTGTGTGGGGGCTGTGTGTGGGGCTGTGTGTGGGGGGGCTGTGGTGTGGGGGCTGTGTGTGGGGGCTGTGTGTGGGGGGGCTGTGTGGGGGAGGGCTGTGTGTGTGGGGGGGGGTGTGTGTGTGGGGGGCTGTGTGTGGGGGGCTGTGTGTGTGGGGGGCTGTGTGTGGGGGGCTGTGTGTGGGGGCTGTGTGTGGGGGCTGTGTGTGGGGGCTGTGTGTGGGGGGGGCTGTGTTGTGGGGGGGCTGTGTGGGGCTGTGTGTGGGGGCTGTGTGTGGGGGCTGTGTGTGGGTGGGGGCTGTGTGTGGGGGGCTGTGTGTGGGGGGGCTGTGTGTGGGGGGCTGTGTGTGGGCTGTGTGTGTGGGGGGGCTGTGTGTGGGGGGGCTGTGTGTGGGGGCTGTGTGTGTGGGGGGGCTGTGTGTGGGGCTGTGTGTGTGTGGGGGCTGTGTGTGTGGGGCTGTGTGTGGGGGGGCTGTGTGGTGGGGGTGTGGGGGCTGTGTGTGGGGGCTGTGTGTGGGGGGCTGTGTGTGTGGGGGTGTGTGGCTGTGTGTGTGGGGGTGTGTGGGGCTGTGTGTGGGGGTGAGTGGCTGTGTGTGGGGGCTGTGTGTGGGGGGGCTGTGTGTGGGGGCTGTGTGTGTGGGGGCTGTGTGTGGGGGGGCTGTGTGTGGGGGGGGCTGTGTGTGGGGGCTGTGTGTGGGGGGGCTGTGTGTGGTGGTGGTGTCCTGGCCGCTGACCTGTGTCTTGCAGGTGTCCGGGGCCGGTGGCCGCTGGCTGTTGCTGTTGCTGTTGCTGTTGCTGTTGCGGTGGTGGCGGTGCTGCTCGTCGCTGACCGGAGGTGGAGAGTGAAAGGTACAGACACATCAGCTGTGGCCCTGACGTTCAAATACTGGGAACAGCGCAACTTTGCACATGAAAGAGTTCAGAAGGACACTGTCTCACACACACTGCTCTCCAGTGCCCAGTGACACTCTGTGTGTGTTGCTGTGAGTGTGAAGCCTCCTCTCTTGTACCTTTCATCCTTCAATATTATAAGGGAATAATTATTTGGTTAGGACAAGTTTGCAGGACTACTGGGAGAGAGTGGGGGAGTGGGATTGAATTGGAAGCTCTTTTCAA